TTATAACTGCTTTTATTGTTGTAGTGAAGGACTGTGTGAAACTGATTTCCCCTTTTGGGAAGGATAAAGTTTTTCTGATTCTGATTCTGAAGAGCTTTACTTTACGATTGCTTTATGCTGAAAATTATATTCTGTATAAAAAAGGAGTGTCTTTTATTGTAACTAAGTAGCGCAATTAGTAGAGGTTGGCAGTGCGATTAAAGCTGCCACAGATGAATGCTGTTGTTGTGTCTTTGGGCAAGACACTTAACCCATCTCGCCCCCAGTGTCTGCATCCCGTGGTGTATGATTGTGTGCATGGATGGGTGAGTGGTCCCTTGATGTAAAGCGCCTGGAAGGTGGAAAAGTGCTGTATAAAAATGTGAAGATTTACCATTTTGTTCATAGTAAACTGCAATATTGATCTAAAACTGATTAACACTGGAAACAGGTTCATTGAGTTCAAAACTGCAGATCTGATTCTCTGCTGCTGGCCCCTCCTCTTCGTAGTGGCATTTCATTCTCGCAGCACATTTTCATTTACTTGTTTTTGTTGATGAAAAAAGGCTACGTGCCATTTTTGAACATGAGCCAGAGTCTGAATCGTTTGAAAAAGTACAGAGCTGTAGGAGGAGATAAGTGAAAACAGTCATTTTCTGAGTACTCAAGCATTGAATGCGTGACAATACTACTCAAATATTCATAGATCAAATAATTCATAGCAATCAAACTGAAATTGCAATTTGAGTGAACGTAATTAAGAAATAGCAACAGCTGCAAAATTTTAACTACTATAATTTCCTTCACAAAAACTGCAAAATATGTATACTGGTATCCCTGTACAAACAAGTTCTAAAATACGTGTGAATCATGTTGCGTTTGTTAGTTCATAGGCCATTTCCAGTGTTTTTGTAATTTTTTTCTGGATGTGTTTTTATGAGAACTTTGAACAGAATTCTGTGATTAAAGAAGACCTATTGTGCTTGGGTCTGCTACTTTATGAAGCTTTATAAATCGATGACCCCCGTGGATCATGATTTTATATTTTCCTCATTTTAAATCACAATATTCACCTCAAAGGTCTCAAAATCACACTGTAGAGCAAAGTAAGTTGAGAGCAGTGGGTGTGCGTCGGTCGCCGTAAAAACAGAGGTTGATCGGCAATATGGCGTCTTGAAAATAAGTGATTCCAGATTGCTCAAACATGCATGAATCACTCCAATTAATTTTGGGAGGGTAAACGAGAAGGGGAAACAACTGTAAAATGGTTTAAAGGTCTAGGAGTAAAAGGTGATTTTGCTTTTAAACATAAATCGCAAATCTAACCCCAATTGCAAAGTTTGTCAAATGTTTTCCCCAAAAAATTTCAGACCTAACACCTTTGCTTGGGTTTTGTGGAGCTGTAGTCACTTATTTTGATCTTTTTCTTTAGTTTTACCACTTTGTTCTGTCTAAATATCCCACCTGTGTGTAGTGCGAGGAGTTGGAGACATGCAGAGCAGCTCAGACTCTGCTCGCGCTAATAATTTATGATGGTCTTTACCTCTGGGTCCCACAATGATACTGCAATAAGGAGTGAGAGTGTAACCGGGCAGATTGGACTTGGACACCCACCAATGATAAAGTTGATAAATGGCCACACTGCAGACTAATGGCTGTAGCTGAGACTAGACTTTCCTATCTCCTACTTCCTCGCTCGTGTGTCCTGTCTCCTTCCTCTTCTTCTCTTATTCCTTTCATATGACCTGAATGGATAATAATATTGAACATTTACGCTGTAATATGTATCGAGCTATTTCAATATGATGCATTAAAGGCTTCACTGCATTTATAAATCAGTTGCAGAACAAAATTATGGCTATGAGACCCAAGTACAGGAATTAAAACAGTAGTTTAGTAGAATATAGATACAAAAATGTCAAACTTTTTTGATGCTCAATACTAATTTTAATACTACGGTGATAATGAAATGATCTCACTCAACACACAGTGATTCTCAATACAAATAAATAGCAGTTTCCTTATTCTCCCATGCTGTTTTATCATAGACTGTATAAAACAGAGTGTGACGTCACCCATAGTATTCAGCTTCAGTCAAATGAAGCTCATGATGCTAGCAGTTATAAGACAAATTTCGAGTTGCATTTTAGGAATAGGAAATGATTTACGGACAAAATATCGAAATAAAAATCCACAATCACGTAGAGCATTTTAAGCATAAACATTTTAAGACCAAAATGAAAATCCTCACAGCAGCAGTTACAGACAGAGCGGAAATGTTTTTTAGGGCAGGGCATGTTAGCGCATTAATTTTGCGTTAACTAAAGAATTCATTATTGCTGATAGTTATTTTTCTCCCGTTAACACGTTTTTTATTATTATTTTTTTTAATTGTAACGGTCTGTCACTCACTGGCTTTTATTTTGAAAAAGTCCATCGTGAGTGAGCCTAGAATTGCTTACTGCTGCAGTGCTCACAGTAAACAGAGAAAAGAAAAGAGGGATAAATAAACATAGAGAACGGTAAGGAACTTTTACATGGCCATTTTCATTTTAAAGTTCTTCCAGACGGCGCAGTCGACACAGCCAAAGTCATTTGTAACATTGCAACACTGAATTGTTTTATCACCGGAGTTTCACAAGACTGAAATCACCTAAATGCAACAAACTATCGTGATGCCGGCAAATCAGTCAGTGAAACAAGTGGAGCGAGGCTTCGGCCGACTATGTGAGATACAACGTGTATAGTATAAACATGGATTTTACTGACTAGTGCCCTACTACTGTATAAAGAAATGCTATTTACACAACAGATGTATTACACTTTTGTTTACATTTCCAATAAAAGTGCGCTATATGCTGCTTTTTATTAATTAATTGGTTTTATAACATGTGATTCATCATGATTAATCACAGGAACTCATGCAATTAATGCGATTAATATTTTTTATTTTTACTCAGCCCTAGTTTTTTTCAATACAATGTGAATTGGAGCCGGATTTGAAGGAGCTGGAAGCTTGCCCATCCTCACTTCCTATCTGGAACGCCGAGGCTATATGTTCATTTATATATACAGTCAGTGGGTCTTATAGTAATTTAGATTTAGAACATTCAAAAACAAAATGTGTCCTGATTTTTTTTTTTTCTCAGTAATACTACTTGTTCAAATGAGTATCTACGAGAAGTGCTAATATAAGTTTTAGCTGGGTGTAGATTTTTTTGACAAGCCTAGATCAGGGGCTTCTGTAGGATTCTGTTCAGAGTGCATATTATAAACAACTCCAGTCCAGACTGAAATATGAACTGATAAATTAATACAAGAATCCCATGAATTTCAGTACGTATCTGTTGGAGTCTAAACTACAGGTACACGCTTTTTAAGGTAAGGTATTTCTAAATAGGACATTTAGTTGTTTATAGTGAACATTCTATTACCTCAATCACTTCAGCCTAATAATAATAACTGCTTGTCAAATTTCGATTTTGATTCATTTACGATACATTGTGCAGCCCAGTTTCAGAATATTTTCAATTCATTCATTAATTCATACCACAAGAGCACCCTTCTTTCTTTAAGAACTCTTTTACTTCCTCTTTTTTCCTCGTGATTCACAGAGACGCAGCTCCTATTCATTGTCTCTGAGATAACAAAACCTGCCCATTTTTGACCATCTCACAGTGAACAGAAGGAGCCTTTATAGCAGCAGCCTGTTAGATCACACCAGTCCCTCCTTCTAGACATCTTTGCACAACTTTTATATTCACTTTTCTTCAGAATTGTAAATATGAGAAACACATTTCACTGTCACTGTGTACATGAAAATCTGACCTTTTTCATATTCAAATATTCTCAGTGGAGGCATTGATATGAGAAGTCAACAGCTCAAATGGGAGTATAGATAGACAGGTGACATTTTTATTGAATTTTTTCTGCATGTTCTACCTGTGTCTGTTGCCTCATTTGAAGTGAAAGGCCTGTTTAATCTGAAACAGGTTTATTGGGGTATTTTTTAAGAAGCAGCAATCAATAGTAATTTTTGTAATTTTTATATTTTGCAGTTGCCTCGAATTGCCTAAGTGTGCGTGTGTGTTTAGTCCTGGTTTAGTCTTGGTACTTGGTTTGGTCCTGTTCTGGTTTAATCCTAGTCTATTCCAGGTATAATTCTGCGTTTAGTCCCAATTTTGATTTAGTATGGTAACTCAACTTTTGTCGGTCTAGCTCACAAAAAACCTATTCTTTTATTAAAATGCATTATTTATGGATTAAGATTTCAGGTGTGCATTATGAAAACGTAAAATAGAACTGTAATCTGAGTTTTACAATATGCCAGTGCGGAAAGAAAGTCTGTGATTCTTACTTCCAAATTTACTGTGTGTCAGTCATACCTTCACATTATATTCAAACGAAGCAGTCCCAAACTAAATTGTTTTATTTGGAATAAAATGAGGAAGTCACCTTTTTTTCTAACACAAAAAGTAAATGGGTCTAGTTAGGCCTGTCACAAATTTTGATGTACGATATATGGCTACAGAGAAATACTGCAATAAACAACAACATTGAAACTATTTTATGCCACTGATACAATAATAATAAAGCAAGCTAGTCCTTGTATTTAAACCATTTTTTAAAAAGACAGTATCATTCAGTATTATTCATACAATAAATAACAGAATGAACCAATAATTAGTCATAGAAGTCACTTATTCAATAACCTTTTATAGCGCAAATCCTATTGTATTACAACAAAAACATCCCAAATCTGCCCACTTTTACAAAGAACATGTGCACACAATAAGCAGTAAGCTTTCATATACTGAACAATAAGTCGATGTAGAAATGATCATGACAGGCCTAGGCTTAGTCACTAATACAAATCATCAGGTTAAACAGCTGTGAATTTCATATCAAAATACAATGTTATCAACATAGGGTAAACTGGCTTTGGCCCCTCCCCTATCTGGCAATGACAATATCACATTTTACAAGCTGAAATCCTCATTTGTCCCTGTGTCCCTTCACAGACAGACCTGGAGGCGGTGGACCCTCGGGGCAGGACTCCTCTGCATCTGGCTGTGACTCTGGGGCATCTGGAGTGTGCCCACGTCCTGCTGCAGCACGGAGCAGATGTCTACAAAGAGAACCGCAATGGGTGGACAGGTAGGGCATCTGACTTTAACGCTGCAGGGATATGGGAGCAAACTGTACAGAGCAGTGTATTAAAAGGCCCAAATTACACTATTTTCTGATCTATGTTATAATGTGGTTTCCTTTTGAGTTCCTCTCTTAAACTGTAAACACTCTGTTCCACCGTGTGACGTCATGTGGTGGTACAGGAAGTTCTCCACTGTGTTTTTAAACTCCATACATCTTTACTAGAATCATTTGGATAATTTCAGCCCTGGAATTGCCATTCTACTGAACTAAAGATAAAAAGTAGCTTTGGGTATGTTTTTGAAGAGTTAACAACATTATAACATGGTTTTAAACACACAAAAAAAGTGCGTAATATATATAGGATCTTTAAGAATAGCACCAAAGTAATTAGTTATTCTGATGTTTTGGTAACAACATAATGAACAATATACAATACAATATACAATACATGTAGCATTTACAGACTAATTTTACTCTGACCTTAGCTATTGTTACTGTACAAGTAAAGTAAGTCCAAGTAAACAAAGGGAGCTTAGCAGTAAATGTGAAATCATGCGTATAATTACAATTAATATTTTGCATAGATTATCTCCTGTATTATCTTGTATTTGAGATTGAGTGCTCAAAAAATTTCCATTTCACCTACCCCGAATCTCCTGCCCACTTCTCTGCACTTACTATAGTTTCAGTTTTTATTTTTTATTTCATATGTTGAAGAATTAATTCTGCACAGTGCCAGTATCCATGGCTTTGCCAGTATCCATGGGCTGTCAAAAAGGCACCCTCAAATATGCATGTCGCTAAATTCTACTTTTAAATAATGGATATAATATTTTATTCTAAATTGTTAATCGCTATTGCAATAATCCTATTTTTTTTTTTTTTTATCATTCTGAATCCCATAGACAGATATATACAGTATCTTGCTCCTGTCTCTCAGTAAGGAGGTTGGAGGTTGGCAGGTCTTCAGGCTCTCTTCAGGTTTCCTTCTATCCACAGCGTGTACGTACAGTAAAAGCAGCAGAAGGTGAATGATTGAATATATGCATTATTTAACATCAGTATTCACGGTTAAACTGATGGCTCACTTTGGCTTTAACAAATTGTCTGATCCGAGCGTTTGCTGCTTTGCACCTGTAATTCAAACAGGCCTGTCCCGATCACAGCTCATTGAGATGAATGAGACTGCCTGTGCACTCAGTGTCTTTTGCCTTGTCCTACTTCAGTTTCAGCGCCTGCCCTGCCCGCCCTAAATCACTGCTCTCATACATTTTGAATGAGGCCTGAGTGACTGATCTGTACAGAGACCTACTCAATAAAGCACAAACGTGTGCGATTTGGGGAAACAAAGTAGGACAAACTATAGGAAATGGAGCTTAATATGATCTGACTTGAGATCTGACTTGTGATTTGAAGCTGGTACATGAAACATAAGTCGTGGACAACATTGCTCTTCCAGTGTATTTCTGGCCAAGAACATCGCTCAAGATGTTTAAGTGATTGAAAGATGGGTCAATGAAAGTGGATTTTAAAGAGGTCATATTATCTAAAACCAACTTTTTAACTTTGTTATAAGGATGTCCTCTCATCATAAGCTTACTTAGAGTTGGATTACAAGTGATTCATGCATGTTTGAGTAACTCTCTTTTCACTAGCTAGGACCACACAAACAAGGACATAGTGCGAAGAAGTTATTGATAATGTACGAAGCGGGGCAGAGATAGCTGGTTTGAGACTCTAGGTGGGGGCTCTGTCTCAATCTTCAATTGACCCAGCCAGAACAGGACCCCCCCTTGTAGGGGTATTATGACTGAAAGACAAAATAGGGGATGGGAGGGTGGGGTTGAGTTAGCTGAGACAAACTGGGATGATGCGAAAGGCTGCTACATAAAGGCTTCTGGGAAATTAGAGGCGTGGTCAAGGTGAGTTGTGGTTCGCTGGTGAGAGGAGAGAGCGACTGAGGCGTGGTCCTACTCCTGAATCTCAGTTAATCATATTACATTTGTTGTGCATTTGAGGTAACCAGGCTAGCGCCACCTAATGTCTCCACTCAATTTCATTTCTCTCCAGCGACTAGGTCAGGAATCGGAATACACTAAATGGTTTGCAAAACCCCTGGAAGTGCGAGTTCAAGCACCAGCCAATCAGCGACGAGCCATACATTCTGTGTTGGCAACGATTCCTGAGATCGAGGATTTAAAGCTGGAACACAGAGAATGTTTGGTGAAAGACGTTATTGTTCTTCTTCCTACAGAATTTGGGAAAAGCTTAATATACCAGTTAGCTCCGTTAGCTGCGCATTACATACGTCACAACCAAATAGCAGTGATTGGTTAAATGAAAAAAGTACCCGCCAAGCAAACGAAAGCTAATGCTGCGAGGTCAGATGGCTGATGAATCAGGCTACATTTCAAGAAAAATAAAAATAAAAAATAATTTAAAAAATCATCTTCACCTACCCCCTATCTCTGCCCACTTCTCTGCACATGAATCCACAGCTTACTACTTTGAAATAGCATAGGAGATCTTGAACAGGAAGTGAATGGATCTGTTTTTATTATTAAGTTGTTTTGAACTAATATTGCAGTCTCAAATTAACAAACGAAATGTAAAATCATGATGTATGTTCATAATGTAATACTAAAACCCCCCAAAAGCACAGTAAGTCTCCTTTAACCTCACCATTGCAAAACCAAATTCCTTAAGTTCATTTTTGGTTTTCATAGCCCAAAACGCAAACATTTTTCAAGGCTATGCAAACCCAACCAAATACGATGCCTTCAAACTCTACAAACATTTTACAAAACCTTGGAAACCCAACAAGACAAGTCTCCAAACTCTGTATTTTCATTATATTCTTATGTTTGATCCCGTCTCGTCTCTGTCCAGTGTTGCAGGAGGCGGTGAGCACGCGGGACCCTGATTTGGTGCGTCTGGTGCTGCGTTACCGTGACTACCAGAGGACTGCCAAGAGACTGGCTGGCATCCCCATCCTGCTGGAGAGACTCAGACAGGTGGGGCTTCACACAAACAAACATACATACACATATACATACACACATTTGAACTATATAATGGAAAAATAGATGTTTCAAGAATTGGTTTCTATGTCATTCAAGTGTAATGTTTCATTGAGATAAGGCACAGGGTTTATAATTTGGCAAGATTATGGATTTTGTCACAACTTCAAATTATGATGTTTATTAGTTGTTTTTCTGCTGGATATCCCTTATCACCTTCACTTTCTTTAAACATTTTTAAGTGCACCTGAGTTCTATTCCTGTAAACTGTAAATGAGTAATGACTAATAAAAAAAAAATAAAAAAAATGTGTGTCAGCTTTTGTCTGACAGAAGGAGACCAGAGAGCACAGGTGAGCCTGAACAAAAGCCAGGTGAGGGGAGAGGGGAGGGGAGTGGGTGAGGAGAGGTGGGAGTGGGGGCAGGGTTCACATCTGCCATCTACTGGAAAAAAAAAATACATTAACAAATGGTAGTTTTAAAATAATAAAATACAGTATAAGGCTATCATTGTGGTATGCCAATAGGCCTGGTACAATAGTTACTATATCGACGTATCGTTCATTATTTGAATGCACAATATATGTGTACTAATTCGAAATTTGTGGTTATAGTTTGGGTATATGATAAGATTTAAAAGTCTTTTAAAAGTCATAGAAGGCTGAATTAATAACTCAGCTCATTCCCATACTCATGATTTTTTAACCATACTGGACATTTGTGGCACAATGGCAAAGTGGGTAGCACTTTCACCTTATAGCAAGAAGGTCCTGGATTTGATTATGGTGCGGTGCTGGCATTTCTTTGTGGAGTTTGCATGTTCTCCCTGTGTGTAGGTTTAAAACATGTACAGTGGGGTTCCCTGTGTGTCTGGGACTCCACTGAAAAAGAGATTCTGGTCTATACTGGTTAAATAAAGATCAAATAAAATAACACATTTAGAAGAGTTTTTGTGGTTTAAATCTGCTCTTTAATTTTTGTGTGAGTGACATTGTTTATCGTCTCTATTTCCTTCAGCAATATATTGCACTTCAAATTTGTTATGGTGACAGGCTTAATTGCCAGTGCCGTATACATTACCATAGCCTTTTGGAAGTAGTATTATGTAAAAACCAAAGCACCTGCCGCTTAATATCTGTGTTTACAATGTGTAACTCTGTTGTTAAAGTCCCCTCTCTGGGAGCTGTGAGTCATGTAGTTTCCAGAGCAGTGCTGATGCAGGGAGCTCACCGTAAACATGGAGACAGATACAGATGATGTATATGTGCACTGGACCACAGGGACCAACTGACAATCTGCTATTTTTGGCCCGGACAATTTATCAAAATGGAATCAAAGTTTGACTTGGCGCAGTTATCAATTCACAAAGGCTGCATTTATTTAGATTTTAGAATATCCTTAGTAACGAACTGTCTTTTGTCTTTTTCTTGATCTTTTTGTAACTATAGTTTAGATCTATAAACAAAAATGTAAATTGAACCGAAATGAAATGAATTCTTGGATTCGTTTAGTTCATATTTGTGTCTTATCTCAAATGTTAATGCTCTTGGAGTTGTTTACAATGTGCACACGGAACAGAAACTTACTTTTTAAGCACATATCGGAAATCTAAAATTGCAATATTTGTCCGAAAAATTGCAGTTAATTAATAACACTCAACTCAAATCAAGAGTTGCCATGTTACATTATTTTCATTGCTTCAAAACACATTTCAGGGTAATAAATGGTACCTTATTTAAAAGTGCACTACATAACTTATCTGGGGGAGAGCACGCCAAAACCTACCTCCATGGAGACAATCTGATAAGCCACCAGGCCAAGTTACAGGTCTGTTCTGTGGAGAGGCAGCCCTGCTTAGGAATTAATAGCTAAATAGCAATAAAAAGGTTTTTAATCGAATAAATACAAGATGGATTGTTGTAATACAGCGGAAAATTCTAGTCAAACAACAACAGACAACAAAACCAAGCATGTGGCAGACTTTAAATGAGCCATATGCATAAACTGCAAAGCAAACTGAACAACAGCTAATGCCTCCTCACGGTTTAGAAGTGCCAAAGATTCCACGTTGTTTATCATATGCTGCTCCCACACTGCATCTTCCTTTATAAACTGTCTCATCTATTACAGCCCACACAGACCTTCTTATGTGCCAGTCCCTCGCCACACAAACAATGCATTAATTCACTGGCATTTTGCGTCCTTCAAACAATTTATCTTGCTGTATCTCTATAAACTATTTCCTTCATCAACGTCAATATTCTTACCCATTCATCTCCCTCTGTCTCTGACGCAGGCCCAGGACTTCTATGTGGAGATGAAATGGGAGTTCACCAGCTGGGGTAAGTCCGCATAGCATTAATTTTGTAGTATATAATTTTTTTATTTCATTTCATTTATTAGTATTTATTTAGAGCAGATTAATGAAGTAAATATACATGTAATCGGTACACTTAACTTAACTTTTTCTTATTTACGCTTGAAAAAGAGTGGGAAGAAAAAATGTATGAAATGCCATCCATGTCAAGTTAATTGTTTTGTTTAACGGGCTCATATTTTGATATTGTCTAATCTATGTTATAATTTTGTTTCCTCATCACAAACCTGGAGCTGTGTTTTGTTTCATTCACACATGTTTAACACACAAACCCTGCACATTTGCTGAGTTCATCATCAAACAGGAAGCACTTTGTTCCACCTTGTGCTGTCATAGAGGAAGTGCTCCACTGTGTTTTGAAACTCAATACCATGGATCTATTAAAATGCTCAATACACCTTCAATAGAATCATTTGGATGATCTAAGACCTGGAATTGCCAATCTAATAATAATAGTAATAATAAAAGGTTGCTCAAACATTTGTTAATGAAACAAAAAATACAACTGCAAGTATGTTTTAACAAATGAACAAAAAAAATATTTTCACAATTTATTCATTTACAGCATACTTGGTAGAATTTGATTAGATTTGATTACAGTCTACTGATGGTCTCTTGACAGATTATGATCCTAATTGAAGTACATTGTTAAATCATTAATTTAAAATCTAGTCATTTTAAAGTATTATTAAGTTAATTCAGTTATAACTGCTTCCACCACTGATTAGAAGGACCTCAAGGAAGGACTTCAATCAGGTAGAACAGGATTGTTCCAGAGCTCTGCACCTGCAGTCAAGAGGGACAATTACATGAAGAACATGTTAAAACAATCACAGAGAAAAGACATTATCAGTGCAAGAAAGCAATCTGTTCATTAAAGGTCTTATATTACCCTAAAACTAAATCGATTGTTGTGAGCTTTAAGCCATATTAGAATGTAACAGCCTCATCAAAAACATATCTGGAGTTGTCAGATGAAGAAAAAGAGGTAGAGCGCTTCACTGGGTCATAAAAGAGTAAAAAATAGCAGTTCAGGTGCCCTACGAGGGTTAAAACAGTAGTCTAAACAGAAATTACCCTTACTGCAACATGTAAAAGTGGTAAGGTACAAACCCGAGGCACTCCAACTGAATATATTAAAAGTCCTTTATTTATTATGGTCGTCACTTTGCACTGACGAAGACCATCTTGCTGGTCGAAACGCGTTGGCGTCCCTTCATGAAATAAAGGACTCTTAATATATTCATATCTGATGTTGTGTTTTGTTTCATTCCTATATGAAACAAAACACAAATATCCTTTATTATTAGTGTGTCTACATCTCCAAAGCAAAAAACGCTCTGTACCACCTTGTGATGTCATGAAATGGTAGTTTCAAGGTAGCAGCTACCTTTTACATGTAGGTCAATAGAGATTGTCAATGCCAGGAGTGATATTATCCAAATTATTCTAGAGAAGGTGTATAGAGTTTAAAAACACAGTGGAGCACTTCCTGTATTATCACATGACATCGCAAGTGTTTTATGTTTGAAAAAAGAACTAACACGTTGGCGTCCCTTCATGAAAGGCAATTGTGGCTACAGTAGTAGTAGCCACTGAGTGTTGAGTGAATGAATTATGAACTGTAAAGCGCTTTGGGTATCTTGAAAGGCTCTATATAAATGCAGTGATTCATTCAAAAGATTTAATTAATTCATTAATTAGAGTGGAGATCAGTGAGGATCTGACCTGGAGCCTAAACACCATCAGCATTATAAAGCGTGCCCAGCAGAGACTGTTTTTTCTACGAACACTTTGCCAGAATGGGCTCTCCCAGAAGCTGCTTACAAACTTCTACTGATGCACCATCGAAAGTGTTCTGACGTACTGCTGTACATCATGGTACAGAGCCTGCACAGCTGCTGAAATGAGGGACCTGCAGTGAGTGGTGAGAACAGCTGAAAAGGTGGTGGGCTCCTCACTCCCGAACCTGGACACCATCTACTCTTCACGTCTCCACACACGAGCCTCCAAGATTTTGCAGGACTCCACACACCCTGGGAACTGCCTCTTCCACACTCTCCCCTGAGGAAGGCTTCAAACTCCCCTCACACGCACAAACAGGCTGCACAACAGCTTCTACCCACGAGCAGTGGACGTGTTCCAGGGGCACAGGCGCAGATAAAAGACCTGAAGGGACTCAGTGCAATAATCTATTTATTTTATTTATTAAATGTTTTTTTATTGGTATGGATGTGAGGATGTGTCTACATTTGTTCACTTTTACTGCTACAGATCTGCTCTGTCGAAGTTTCGTTGTATTTCATACAATGACAATAAATAAATCTAAATCTAATTAATAACCTAAATACACAGGCATGTGTGAATGAAACACAACAAAACTCCTGGTATGTTTGTGATGAGGAACATTATAACATAGATCAGAAAATAACACAATATGGGCCCTTTAAAAGTTCAATAGTTGATATCCCCACAGCATATAGCATTTTTACAACCAATAATAACAAAATATGCAGGCAAAAACAATGTGCATATCTCAGAAAGTATTTCAGCAACTAATGATTAATTTGTTTTTGTTTTATTTAGCCAGGAAGGTCCCATTAATAATCTCTTCCTCCAGGGGGTCTTAATAATACCATCAATAATACATGATGTCTTCACAAATAAATGCCACCTGCTTGTCTCCGTGGCAATGCATATGTTTAATGCCGTGAAACAATAACATACACGGAAACAAGCAAGTGCTGGACCCTCCACTAGAAAAGTTACACAGTGCACCTTTAAACGAATATGCTTTTGTTGTTTTGCAGTGTACATGTGCTTTAGCAGTTTTCCCCAAATCAGATTAAAAAGTCAGATAGCCGCTGTTTTGCCATTGTAAGGCCAGACTGGTCAATATTATGTGTCCCATGTGAGTGGAGCAGTGCCGTGGAAAGGAGCTAATATCGTTATGATCTGCCCCGGGGGATTGTGGGTCTTCCTGTTGTTCGTGGACACTGGTGATCTGCACTTCCTCCTCTGTCCTCTTTGGCTTTCAATGTTAAAGAGTTTGTCCACCGGAAGCCATCAAGAGCCCATGTTTAAAGTGGGCTAATTGTGTAGATTTCTGCTGACACATTAAGTCCTATGGGGCACTAACAAAATAATATCGCTGATGTGAAATTTCATAAAGCCATTTAGTGATAGTAAATTATACGAGTGTGTAGGAGTGGAGCCGTAAGCAGATCTCAAACCATTTTCAGTGAGGACTTATAGGCACCAAATATTCTGCATTTTCAATGAATAGACAAACAGACAGAGTTCCAATTAAGTACATGTCATGTCATTGTTATCATGGTTTTACAATCATTTAAAGTGCTCATATCACTCTGTTTTCTAATCTCTGTTATAATGTTGTTTCCTACTTCTACTACTACTACTACTACTACTACTACTACTACTACCACTACTACTACTAATAATAATAATAATAATATTGCTCCTGCTACTACTACTGCAACCCCTACTAGTACAACTACTATTATTACTAATACTGGTACTACTACTACTTTTACAACTACAACTACTACCACTACTACTATTGCTGCTGCTATGACTACTTTTACTACTACTGCAACCTCCAATAGTACTACTACTAGTATTACTAATACCACTACTACTTTTACTACTACAACTACTACCACAAATACTACTACTGCTGCCACTGCAATTATACTACTTTTACTACTCCTACAACAACTACTACTACTACCACTACTGCTACTACTGTTGCTGATGCTATTACTACTTTTAATACAACTGCAACCCCTACTAGTACTACTACTAGTATTACTAATACCACTACTACTACAACTACAACTACTACCACTACTACTACTACTACAACAACTACAACAACTACTACTACTACTACCACTACCACTACTATTACTACTACAACCTCAACTACTACTACCACTACTACTACTACTACTACTACTACTACTACAACTACTACTACCACTATTACTACTACCATTACTACTACTATTACCACTACTACAACTACTACAGCTACTTTTACTACTGCAACAACTACTACTTCTACTTTTACTACTAGCACTACTACCTATTACTACTTTTACCACTACCACCACCACCTTTACAACTACAACAACAACAACAACTACTACTACTTCTTCTTCTATTACATTAGCAGTACTGATGTACCCTGTTGTGCCCTTAGTGCCCCTGGTGTCTCGGATCTGCCCCAGCGATACATACAGGGTGTGGAAGAGCGGGCAGAGCCTGCGAGTGGACACCACCCTGACGGGCTTCGAGCAGATGACCTGGCAACGAGGCAACCGCAGCTTCATCTTCAGAGGACAAGGTCAGAAAGAAGACCACCTTAACAGAATACCACCTTAACCCCACTGTGTGAGAGACAGGAAAGAAAAAAGACACTGTGCGAATTGTGCATGGGACAATTTACTGAATGTCTCTCCTCACTCTTCACCCTCATTTTATGTTGTATACAGACAATTCAAAATTTGTTCAGTGATCAACCAAATACTTGAAACTTGTAAAATGGGTGTTCATTTTTTAACAATGTAATAAAATACGATAAGATTACTTTATTTTAGAGCTGCTCATTTCTAATTATATTCATTTATATTCTTGTAAAAGCATGTGGTTTGGAGCAGATTTTAGATTTTGGAGAAGAAATTTGATCATTTTTAAATCAAGTCCATTGTTTATGTTTAAAAAGTGAATATTGAAAGATATTTTATTTGTTTTAGCAGACTTAATAAAACGAAAGTAAAACATTGTCAAAAAGGGAAAACAGAATCTTTTTATTTTTTGTCATACCAGACCAATTTATTATATTATATTATGGTATTTATTCTTCCACAGGGGAAAATACGGAGAAAAAATACTTGATCACTGAAGTAACTCAATATAAGAAATTTGTTAGGGGAAATTAATAAAACCTTTTTGTTAGAAAATATTGAATTTGTACATGAGCCAACACATCACACAAACATGCTCACTAAAATAGCCCATTGCTTTGGAAATTTACCCTTTGCATTCATGTGATTTGAAAAGAAAACTAAAGCTCAAGGTTAATCAACACTAACTTAACTTGCAGACTTGTGATCAAAGTGTGCGTGGCATCTATAAAAAGAATAATTTGTTATTTAAGGAGGCTTTATTGTAGATATTTGATTTTCCATTTTCTTTCTATTACGGCGGTGGTCTTTTCTGTTTTGGTTGATTGGCTTTGCCTCCTCTGCACTCGTGTCACAGTCTGTCAGCTGCTCCCTGTTCACCCACCTCTGTGTATTTTTATCCCACCTCCTTTCTCCACTTTACAGCACAATACCCCTCCTCTCTGCTCTCTGCTCTAGGTCACAGAAAACTCCTGTCAGGGGGGTCTAGGATGGTTAAGAAGAATTGGTTTAGATTTGATTTTACAATTTTGAATTAATTTTACTTATTTTTTTTTTAGAGTTAGTTGCATTTAAGATCAATGTACATTATTCATTATTATTAAAAAATATATAACAAGATACCAATGACACTCCATAAACTGACCTGCAATCTTAATGCTGACGTGCCATAATTGTCAAAGTTTATCTTTTTAATCAAGTTAGGCAAAAATGTCATGCAGAAAAGTCACATCTTAAGCTATTTTCTGATCTATGTTATAATGTTGTTTCCTTATCACAAACATACCTGGAGTTGTGTTTTGTTTTATTCACACGTTTGACACACAAACCCTGCACATTTAGGCTGAGTTGTTCTTTCAAACAGAAAACAACACTGGAATTCCCAATCTCTGAAATTAAGTCAAATGGCAGCTGTTAACTTGAAAACTACCGCTTCATGACATCACAAAGTGGGACAGAGCATTTTGAGCTTTGTGGATATAGACAGACTAGTAATAAAAGGTTAAAAGGTTACTCAAACATGTGTGAATGAAACAAAACACAACTCCAGGTATGTTTTTGAGGAGGTCACAATATTCTAACATGGCTTAAAGCTCACAAGTGGTATAGTTTACTGTTCTGTCCAAATATTTTTAGAAAAAGACAGACAAATCAACAAGCATCATTAAGTTTAAGGTTGCTAGGTCAGGTGTATTGTGAACTGTCTGATGTCTAAATATTTATATTCTAATTACCATCTTTACTGAATGTGTAAAAAATGTATCTGCTGCCCTTTTCTAATTAGATAAAATTATAAAAAGAATTATAAACTTCAGCACAATTGTTCAACTAGGGATTTTTTTTTTCCTTTTTGTTACATTTAAGTGAATTGTGTAGTCATACTTTAGGACTTTCTTAACTGAAGTCAAGTTTGTGTACTGACCTTCTCTCTCTATTGTCCCTCAGACTCGAGTGCAGAGGTGATGGAGGTGGACCATGACAGACAGCTGGTGTTTTGTGAGACTCTGTGCGTTTCGTCCTTGGGCTCTGTCCCTGTGAGGCAAGGCGGTAATGGCGCCTGCTGTGGGACAGGGGGCGCTCTGGGGCTCCTCGGGGCCGCTCTGCCCAGTGACGAGCAGGTCGCGGCCAGACTGTCTGCTCCTGTTGTCACCACTCAACTGGACACGCGCAACATCGCCTTCGAGAGGTCAGGACCCCATCACCGCGGATTAAGTCTGGCTGTAATGAGTGGCCTAACCCCAAAATAGGACTGTTGCCATAGCAATTGGAAATTCACCACAATATATGCGTGTTTTGAATGATGAAAAGTCCTCAAAATGGGGCCTATAAATAAAAGCTAAAACGGCAGTAGTAGTAGCTGTTGTTGTTGTTGTTGTATTAGCAGTAGTAGTAGTAGTTGTAGTAGTAGTAGTAGTAGTAGTAGTAGTAATAGTGGTGGTGGTAGTAGTGGTAGTAGCTGTTGTTGTTGTACAAGTAGTAGTAGTAGTGGTGGTAGTAGTAGTAGCAGTTGTTGTATGAGTAGTAGTAGTTGCAGTAGTTATAGTAGTTGTTGTAGTAGTGGTGGTAATAGTAGTAGTGGTAGTAGTAGTAGTAGTAGTAGTAGTAGTAGTAGTGGTAGTGGCAGTAGTAGTAGTTGTTGTTGTACAAGTAGTTGTAGTAGTGGTAGTAGTAGTAGTAGTAGTTGTGGTAGTAGTAGTAGTGGTGGTAATAGTAGTAGTAGTAGTAATAGTAGTAGTAGTAGTAGCAGCAGCAGTAGTAGTAGTAGTAGTAGTAATGGAGGTGGTGGCAGTAGTTGTGGTAGTAGTAATAATGGTGGTAGTTGTAGTGGTTGTAGTAGTAGTAGTAGTAGCAGTAGTTGCGGTAGTAGTAATAATGGTGGTAGTTGTGATGGTTGTAGTAGTAGTGGTAGTAGTAGTAGCAGTACTTTTGAATGTATATGCTGCGATATTAATCAAAACTGAACTGAACTGAAAGAAAATGGGTGGAAGAAAATGGATGGATGAATTGAAATCAATTCGAATGGTTGCAATTAGCAAATTGTAAAGACTGTCATTTTTAAAATCATTTTTAAGCACTATAATTTACTCCACAAACAACACAATATCCAATTTTATTCTGCATAAAAAATATTAATTCTCTATTAGTAGACCTGTACAAAAATATGTTCTGAAACGTGATTCTTATATTCAGTTTTTTTGTCAATTCTTTGGGACACACTTAAAATGTGAACAGAATCCTATCAAAACATAAATCATAAACTGAAATGTAGTACTTGTCAGAAAAAATGCACTTAAATATTTCCCCAAAACATTCAACTCTAATGAAGGCTTTGTTTAATCAGTATGGCATCTTTAAATCTCCATTGGTTTAACATTAAGTGAAATATCTCTGGTATGAACTCTATAAACAAGAAGAAATAGACATCTATATAGACACAGACAGAGACAGATCGGAGCCCTGAGATGCAGGATGGGAAAGAATGCTTACACGCCCATATATGGAGGCTGAGGTGTGCATCTTCCTGCCTGATATGTGTCACCTGAACCTTGCCTGGCTCAGCATCCTGTCGGCATGACGATAATATATTTATGAAGTTTCATGGACCACGCACAGAGAGCTGGGGAAGTACCTCCATCAGTCATACAGGAGCTCCACTGTGCTACCAAAAATATTAATAGATACAAAAAATCAAGTCACTGTTTCAAAATATTGATCCAGTTTTGCAAGATATCACAATTGTTTGAGACACCTTTGTACAGTAAACTTGTTAATAAACAGAAATGCATCTTGGGAAGGTACTGTAGGTCATGTGACAGCGCAAGTTACTAATTGGTTCTTTGTTCTTGCACTTCATTCAGAGTCAATTATTTTTAAAGTCTAATGAGATATTGATACCTTGCAGTGACATCACATTAGGAAACAAAGACAAAAGTTTTAAAGAAGAAAATACTTAACGGATTTAATTTTCAGGAGCCTGTGATCAGTATGAACATTCATGGTCCTGCTTATTTGAGAGGGAAACCAAAAATCAAACTCAACTCCCCTTTTGTAGTTCCGAGTAAGTCAGTTCTTTCTGGTCAGATGTATTACAACAAATCTCAAATTAAATCTAACTTGAGCAACAGAGCTTCTGACAGAGAAGTGCTTTCAGTTAGCTTCACTCTCCATTGAATGTTGATGACACCAGCTGCAAAGTATCAACAGAAACAGACAGAGCAAATACAAGGTGTCTTGCTCAAGGATTATTTTCTCATTGTAATGTAATATTAGCCAGGCTGGCACCACCTAGTGCCTCCGCTCAATTTGATTTCTCTCCAGCAACTAGGTCAGGAATCGGAATACATAGACAGTTCATAAAAATCCCGAAAGTGCAAGTTTGGCACCAGCCAATCAGCGAAGAGCTATGCATTCTGTGTTGGCAACGATTCCCGAGATTGAGGATTTAAAGTCGGAATAAAGAGAATGTTTGCTGAATTTTATCAAGGGGAAAGGCGTTATTGTCCTTCTTCCTACGGGATTTGGGAAAAGCTTAATATACCAGTTAGCCCCGTTAGTGACGCATTACATACTGAATAGCAGCAATTGGTTAAATGAAAAAAAGTATCCACCTACCGTCGAGCGAACAAATTCTAAAATTGCACTTCTACGAAGTGAAACCGGCTGATGAATCAGGCTAATGTAATATAACACTAAACTAAAATTGTTCCTTGAAGATCTTGGTCAGTAGTGAGTTTATAATAAATGATTCTAACCTCTAAATCAAACGTATTATTTGTTAAATGTTGAATTTTATACATTCATTGCATAGTATATGAGCACGTTTTTAATTATAATGTTGACGCTTGAAGAATTTATTGTAGCTAAGAGTAAGACGATGCTGTGACTATCTGAAGCAAATACTATGAACTTGATTAATTTATACTTTGCTGCGGAATTTCCCAGAAGTGTTTTTGACGTGATCTGTTTTGATGTTTTTCCAGGAATAAGTCGGGAATTCTGGGCTGGAGGAGTGAGAAGACGGAAATGGTGAACGGATACGAAGCCAAGGTAAAGTCACTGTTAACAAGACGCACTATATCTGCTCTGTGTCTGGTTTTTCATATTTTTAGTCAGGCCTCTTCTTTTTGAGATTTGTCCAGAATCACAGTTATTTTAAGCTTCTGAGGACATGTTAAAATGTGATGAATTTATGCCCCAGATAATTTCAAAAGGCTTAAGAACCTAGAAAAATAATTACAGTAGTAGAAGTATTTCATATTACGCTGTTTTCTGATCTATGTTATAATGTTGTTGCCTTATTGCAAACATACCTGGAGTTGTGTTTTGTTTCATTCACACAATTTTAACGCTGTCTGCATCTGATTAGAGCATTTTTATCATTCACACCTGGAAATAATGCGCTGTTAGCATGCTAGTTGTTGTTTGCTTTACTATGACATCAAACCTTCACTCTGAAAGCTCTCCAAAAACTTATAAAGTCATTGCAGTAAATAATTAGGAAGTGAGGAATATTTTTTGACCGCTGCAAACAGTTTAAAATGAACTAGTTTTGTTTTTTATATTTTTAAAACAAAACAAATCAAGTACACCACCTTAAGTAATATATAAGCCCCATCCACACTAGTACGTATTTGAGTTGTTTTCGTTGCAAATGCAGTGTTCATCCACACTAATACGATAGAAAACAGCTCCAGAGACAGAATGATCTGGTGCTTCCACGAATTCATCTGAGTACGAATCTGGTCCGGTTTTGTGTGGACGCTTGAAAATGCTGATGCGCTGATACGCTGATGTAGGTCTATGCACTGTGAAGTAATTCACCGCCAAAACACTAAGAGGCTAGAATATATGTTCATTCATATATATCGTCTATGCGTATGACCTGCAGACATATTATCTCTGAATAGTTTAATATAAACCACAGAAGCACAGAACAGACTCACCATCAGCAGAACACCCCTCTGTCACAGAAAGAACACATATATTCTACTGAGTCGTATCCTTTAGTCCGACAGAAGCTGAACCGTATCAGCGCACAATAACGAGCTGTTTTTTGAGCTCTCAGTTTATGCAAATTAGCCATGTGGTTTTAAGTTTCCTTTCTGTAAAATGTAAACAAATATGCCAAAAGCTGTGTGGACGCAAATTGTTTACGATACAGTGAAAAGGTGATTCATTTCAGTGTAAACGTAACCATAGACAGCACTTCAGACAGAACAGTGCCTACAGTTAGTACACACTCAAGTATCAATAGTAGTAATAACCGTAATTAGCTTTACTGTACAACTGAGCTATAACAATAATGAAAAAATACTACATACAGGAATAATATACAGCATTTTAAAGTTCTTGCAATTGCATGAGAGTAAATACATAGGCCTGGATATTAGTACTTTTTGCAGTACCCTTTCTGCCTGTGTCGCACGCCGTTATCGCTGACCCTGGTTGTTTTCCTGACCTCTTGAAAGGCTAAAAGTGAAGTGTCAGCTCCATCTGTCAGCATAGTTTAAAACGGCTCAGACAAATCCTACTGTAAAATAACACTGTCTGAAATACAGCTATTTTCTGCTCTACGGGAGAGTCGAAAAACACAACGCTCCTTTTAGGACACTTTGAAGCGCCTCTGTTTGTTCTAATACGGGGCTCCTCTGAATGTTTGATGAGAGATTTCCTGTACTGTAGCTTAGTGAGGATCTCCCATGGTGCTGTGCTGTAGAAGGAATCATAAGAAATGTAGATGAATAACGATCTCTGCCTCCCTTTTGGTGTTATAAAAGAGATTGATGACATAGTGGTATAGCCAGTTTTCCCCAGCACTGCAAACATGTACAAAAGACTCTCTTCAGGGACCAGGACTACCCTATAAAAGAAATCAGGAAAGCTTTGTTATAACCATTTTTATTCAAGTAGGTCTGGGAAATATGACCCCTCATGTGAATTGTGGATTTTGTTTTCATTTTGTCTTATTAAAAATCCATTTTCAGTATTAGTATCCTAAACTTAAACAATACAGACTTTTAATAGCTGTCATTTAATATGACATAAAGTCATATTTGTTAGTATCATTCATGATAAATGCACTTCTTCTTTTGTTTAAGGTGTACGCAGCGTCCAATGTGGAGCTGATCACCAGAACCAGGACGGATCATTTGACGGATCAAAATAAAAACAAACCCAAAGGTAGGGCTCAGAATCAGTACACAGTTATTGATGTCACTGGCTGCGGCTAACTTTAGGATTGACATGAAAACCACAAAATCTGATGCGAGTAAAAGCATGATCAGAAAGAAGTCATATGATTTTGTTGTTTACATGTCATTAAATGTCCAGAAATATGACAATAATGAGATTTGGAGATTTGGAGTGTGCATGTAGCTGCTGCCACTGGGATGTTATACAGCATATACACAAGTAACTTCATTGTCTTTTTAAGGTAACTAAATAAGTTCAATTCAGCTGGGAAAAAAAAAAAAACACAGGGTTGGTTCAACAGAAAAATCATCTTGTTTGACACCATCAAATACTCTGACCCCTTGTGGTGAGACTGGATTACTACATGTGCTTGTTCTTAAAAAAAAAGATTTTATGGTGTATTTTAAACATGCTTTTTTCAGATCAGATGGGCTGCTGTAGTTGATCTCACAATGCAGGGTGATCATAAAACATAAAGAAGGTTTACCTGACAGTTTAATCAAAACTCAAATTAAAAATAATCAGAAACACAGCAAAGGTTATATGAATAAAGCTTCAATTATTGTATGTTTGAATTATTTGTAGGTGGGAGGACTCCACTGCAGAACTTCCTGGGCATTGCTGAACAACACATGGGCCCCAACAATGGAGTGAGTACACACTTTCTGAACTAACCAAATTTTTTATGATTTTTATGTAACATTTCTAGTAAAAGGTGCACTATCTGCTTGTCTTCATGGAGATGTTATTGCTTTGCCTTGAATGTTCCACAGTACAGTATTAAGTTTATTTATCTCCAAGGAGACAAGCTCCAGGCCAAGCTGCAGGTCAAAACTGTGGAGAAGCGAGCCTGTTAACACTAAAAAGGTAAGGTATTTTTCCAGCAATAAAAATACCTGTATTTGAATAAATGCTATATAGATACTACATACTAGTAAGTGTAATGCCATACTGTGGAACATTCCAGGCAAAGCAATAACATCTTCATGGAGACAAGAAAGTGTTGGACCAAATAAGTTACACTGTGGAGCTTTAAAGACTCTATATTACACTAAATTGATTCTTGTTAGTTTTTAGGCATGTCAGAATGTTTTTACCTCATCAAAAACAAACTGGGGAGTGTTTTGTTCCATTCACCTACATTTGAGTAACCCTTTATTATTAGCTCAAAATGCTCTGTGCCAACTTGTGATGTCATGTAGTGGTAGTTTTCCAGTTAACAGCTCATTTTACCTTTAATTCTGTAGAGTTTGGCCATTCCAGGGTTGAAATTATCCAAATGATTCTAGTGAAGTTGTGTGAAGGTTAAAAACACAGTGCAGCATTTCCTGTATTACCCCATGACATCACACGGTGGAACAGAGTATTTCCTGTTTGAGAGAAGAACTCTAAATAAGCAGGGTGTGAATGAAACAAAACACAAATCCAGGTATGTTTTTGATGAGGAAACATTATAACAACTTGACTGTGTTGGTGTTTATACTGCTTGTCTGTTTTGTAAAAAGGTGTGTGGATTTTTATTTACATTTTTATTTCATTGGTAAAACTTTAAATAGTGTCTGTGATGAGCTGTTTTTGCCCCACTGTATGACATTTGTTTATCTTGAGTTTTGACGCTTGTTGAATTCTTTCAGTTCTTCCAGTATTTTGTATTTTATATATTGATTTTACATTTCTATATAGGGTTGAAAGTCTTAAAACCACACAGTCTCTATGCGTTGTGTGCATTTCTCTATCCGTACTAAACCTCCGCAGAGCTGCTGACTAAAGGAAATGGGTCTTATGGCATTTTGCAGTTCTCTGGAGCAGTGGGAAAGGTCAGAGCAGAGCTGTCTAGACCTCAACATCTGAGTCTGAAATAAAAACAAAACACTCTGCAGATTTTAAGATACACACAGAAAAATAGTAAACAGAAGCTTTGAAAAGAGAGGACATGTTATAAAACTAGGTACAGGTACATTTTAGCCTGGGTTTGCACACATTAGCAAACACTGCCAAAAAAGTTTTATGATAATCTGAAAACTCAAGAAAAAACACAAAATGGATTTTAATAACACTTTCTCAGGAGCCCGTGATCAATATGAGTGTTCATGGTCCTGTTTAGATGTTTGATTTTCAACAAAAACATTAAGAGAGTGAGAGAATTGTTTAACAATACAAATTATTTCACCTGTTGTTGTTCCAACTAAGTCAGCTTTTTCTGAAATTGTGTAGAAGCAAAGCTCAAATTAAAGTCTAACTCTGGTCACAGACAGAGTAGTGCTTTCAGTTTGCTTTACACCCCCAGGGAATGTTGACATAAGTATCAATAGAGTGCAGTATTGCTAACTAATTGCTATCCACTTCTACATGATCTAGAAGCCTTTACACTGGCCATATATGACTTGTTTAAATGTGTCTGTCCAATGTTTATATATTCATATTTCTTTTGACAGGCCTTGGTGACGCAGATGTCGTGTCCTGCTGTCACAAATCCATCTGCGCTCACAGCAGAGGAGTACTTCAACCCATCCCAAACCCAGAAGGACATCGGACACCCGTGTCAGCTCACCACCAAGACCCAAAGGTGACTAAAAAACTGACACTCCACCAGAAAAGTTACATAGTGCACCTTTAGAAAGGAAAGAAATTACTTAGAGAATGGTCCCAGTAATTAAAAAAGAAGTAGAAATGATTCATTAACAGCAATGTTAAATACTAAAGTTAAATTTAATAGTGCTGTTTGGTTGAATGTAACTTCTACCCAGGAGTCTGAGACCTTCCTGCTGTGAGGTGAGAGCACTATCTGCTGCTAATTAGACAACTATTAAGGATTCTCTATTGTGGTTAAATAGAGGATAAATAAATACAAATAATACAAATAAATATGTGCCAGAATATACAGTATTACACTGTTTGACTTTCAGTATTAGTGCAGTATTTATAGCACACTCTTAATATACGGCATAACAGTGGGAAACCCTGTTCATTTCCCCTGTCAGTCTTTAGAGTGCAGCAGCTCCTGTCTAACTCACACTGACAGTGTGCAGCCCTGAGTCTGTGCTTCATTACAAGTGAAATTGTGAATCGATTGGTCTCAGTTTGGGTACGACTCGAGCAGATTTGTGGACTATTGTTGTTTACTCATGAAATCAATTTTCGCTGTCACCCATGACCATGAAATATAACAAATTCTCACATTTTATGTTGAGGCAAGAAAGTCCAATATTGAAATAATCAGCATTTTTCAGTGATGTTTTGTGGCTGGTAAACTATTGTCATTCAGATCAGAGAGAGTCCTTTTCGGTTTAAACCATAAACTGTGCAGTAATGAACAAAGTGAGTATGACCCATAACGTTCAGCTCCAGTCAAATGAAGCTTATGAGGCTAGAAGTTATAGGAGCAAATTTGGAACCAAGACCCATATTAGGAATAAGAGTTTATAAACAAATAAAAGCTAAATAAAAACACTTGAATCATGCAGAGGGAGTTAATACAAACATTTCAAGACCACAATGATGAGGCTCACTGCAGCAGTTACAGAGAGGGGGGGTGACAGTTTTTCAATGTAAAGTCAATTGGAGCCAGAATCGATCGAGCTAGAAGCGCCTCCATGCTCACTTCCTATTTGGAACACAGCTGCCAGTGAGTTAGCTATGTCCATTTATATATACAGTCTATGGCTTAAACCAAGCTGATTTCAGCACTGAAACTGGCAACCAAACTGAGAGAATAGTGTGAGGCTCATTCTGTTTTACAGTTTTATAAACTTGGCCATCATGTCCAATGTTTTTGTGATTAAGAATAAATCATTATTATAATTGTTGACAATAAAAGCTATATTTGATTTGATCATGTCCACCTTGTATCTGGGGCCCCAGTATGGTCATGTTTATTGAATTCAAAGTCTTATGCTGTCTCTTTTAAAGGTTGTATAGAGGATTTTTAAAGGGAAGAGAAATACTGTGACAGTCCTTTTTCAAATGTTGTGCATGCATGACACGACCTTCATCCTCCACAGCTCCCTCAGTAGAAACACCTCCTCCCGCCTCCTTACTCTAGAAATCACGATTGTTTACAGCCAGTGCGTGTTCAGAATTACTGTTCAAGTGACCTGTCTAGAAGTAATTTAGCGAACAATGCCTCAGTTTTTAGACCCTTCGTCTGCTTCAGTCGCGCAATCGCTGGAAGGAATCTTCAAAAATCTCTTCAGTTTGGCTTTGCTCCTTTTCCCCTCCTCTTCTTCTTTCAGCAACCTCAAAAACTGACTTTCTTTTGCCGTGAACTGGTCGTGGATTCTTGTCCACCATCTCAACAAAATTTGTGCGAGGAAGATACAGTTTAAAAAAGCCTCTATGAACTGTTGCATAAACCGCCTAATCCCAGCACACGGGCGAGTCTGTTACACTAGAGACATAGGGAGTTTGATTGACAACCTAACAGCCAATCTATCAACTGTGGACGTAGTGACGCCAGATAATTTGGGGGTAAAAGTGTAAAAAGTGACACAATTTTGATGTAAACTGCCTAATTAACATTCGTTGTATTTTGTTTGTTGCAGGTTTAAAGCGAAGTTGTGGCTGTGTGAGTCCCACCCCCTGTCTCTGGCGGAGCAGGTGGTGCCCATCATCGACCTCATGGCCATCTCCAACGCTCTGTTCGCCAAACTACGAGACTTCATCACGTTGCGCCTGCCGCCCGGATTCCCCGTCAAGATCGGTGAGAGGCACAAGGCATCATGGGAAAATGGGAAAATGGTGGAAAGGTTAAGAACTGTATGTTATGTGAAGATAACGTAGCATATTCATGGTTTTCAGCTTCCTGTTATATGGTTCTATTTTGAGGACATTATAAATTGTTCGTGACAATGGTCTTTTTTTGTCATTCTGGGCACTTACAATGTAGTCAAATAGAAAAATATTACAAGAACCTTGTAAGTTTGCAAATTTCAGTGTGGAAACAGTGAAACACAAAAATATACTAAATAAATAAGGATTCCAAATAGCTATTAAAATAGGGGTGTCACGATATCCAAGTCTCACGATACAATATCATCATGGTATGAACCTCACAGTGCAATATCATGGGAAAGCACACGATATGATGGGAGGCTCACGATCAAGGATGTAACAAAATCTCGGTACGATATTTTCACTATATACATCTCACGGTACGATATTTATTTTGATATTTTGTGTTGGCTAAACAGCTAAAACTGTGAATATTCTACTTTTTCCTCTTAAAATGTCATGACATAACTTAATCCAGAGAATTAAGACTTCTTTCTTTATGTAGTCTGCGCTAAAATGGAGCAAAGGATCATGGTCTATGTAGTTCCCTCTGTCTTTTTTTACCTATTGCTGCACCATAACTCTTAATTTAAGCAAAGAGACTTGTAATTTGATATATTGTGATGGTCCATGATATTATTGTGAGAACTTTGACGATATGATATCACGATATTTCGGTTATTGTTACATCCCTCCTTTTAAAACTAGATGTTTAGCTATGAAAATATGCATAAATATGAATACAAATTAGATACTACATTTTAAGAATAATAAAAATACTAATACTAATAATAATACTAATAAATATAGTAGTAATAGTAGTAGTAGTAGTAGTAGTGTTGATGAAAACAGCCTTTTCCTCTCCTCTCGTGTTCGTTAGTTTGTTTAGATAAAAAATACACTTGAAACAGAAATTAAGTCCAGATAATTTACTTATTCCAATATTAGAAAGCCATACTTGTACAAGGAGTCTGTTCTGACATTTCCATGCAGAGACTCAATGTTTACGCCTATACAATGACTTTTATACACAAACTATAGTGGGAGGCGAACATGGTTTAGACTTAGTGCCTCTTTGTTGCACAGTCCAATCAGACTCCATTCGGGGTGTTATCTGGCTAACAAGTCATGACATCATCCCTTTCACTCTTTCTTGTCCTATTTAGTTAGTTTGCTATTAGATAGATTGGAATATCATGCATTTGTCTTGACTGTATCTATGAGTCTCTATGAGTATCTTCACATGACCTCGGTACAATAATGAACTACAGAAGTGGTTATACAAAATACCTAAGCTTAGTCATTTATCCTAACAGTAGTTCTATAGCCTAAAGTCTGTAATTTAGAATGAGTGACACAGCATGTTTGTGGGTGGGAGTGTACATGTGACTGGTGTCTGTAGGCGGGCTACAATCCAGTCTGTGGTTTGAAGTGGAGTTGGCTGGTTATGGGTGAGTGGGTGTGAGCGAAGGATTGTAATTGTCTCTATGAAAAGCACTTTGGTTACTGTATATATGAAGTATGATCGATTGATATTTGATAGTTATAGTAACAACGTACAGTAGATTTGACCCATGTTCTTCTATTTAAATATCAAGTCTCTAATGAAAGGAATGTAGGTGCAGACTAGAGTTGACATTTGTAGAGGAAAAACCCAGAGAACATGTATAATTAGCACCAACGGGGAAACAACGCTTTGAAATGTCATAGATAATCAAATATATGTACAGTATGTCCTACTTGTGTCTGTGCAGAGATCCCATTGTACCACATCCTGAACGCTCGTATCACCTTCAGTAACTTGAACGGCTGGGCAGAGGGCGTGAGAGGAGACCCAGAGGAGAGGCCTGTGGAGGGGGGGCTGCAGAGAAGGGATCCCAGCTCAGAGACACCATCACCGGGCAGCGATTCGTCCAGCGTGTCCAGCTCCAGCTCCACCAGTGAGAACAATTGTCTTATTTAAGCCTGTCATGATAATTACTATATCGACTTATTGTTCAATATTTGAAAGATGGAACAATTATTTTTGAGGTCAATATTTATCGTGTGTACTTTTTCTTTGAACTTGTGGGGGAGTTTTTGTTCTTTTTTTGTGCTACAATTAGATTTCAGCGGAAGAGAGTTGAATAAATAACTTCTATGACTCATACTCTGTATCCTAACTACTAAAGTATTGCATTCTGATATTTATTTTTAGCAGCTAATATTTTTTAGCTATATTGTACATTTAGAATAGTTTTTTGAGGGTGTAATCCTGCTTTTTGGTTAATGTGTTGGTGTGATAAATTGTTTCAATATTATTGTCTGTTTTCCTCAGCTATAAACTGTAGACTACTTCAAAATGTGTTTCTAAGCAAGTGGCTGTTCTAAGGCTTTGTTCTAACCATAGATTGTGTGTAAATGGACATAGCTAACCCCTATTGCAAACAGGAAATGAACATTGGGATACTTTCAGCTCCATCAACCCTGACTTTACATTGAAAAAAATGTTGCCCTACTCTCCAAAACTTCTGCTGTTGGCCTTAAAATGTTTGTATTAACCTATTCTACATGATCCTGGTTTTTATTTCACAGTTTTATCCTTAAATTAACTTCATATTCCTAATATAGAACTTAGCTCCATATTTGCCCCATAACTGCTAGCACTGTGAACTTCATTTGAGTGGAGCTGAACGCTATGGGTGATTACTTCAGATTTAGTCTTGATGTAGACTTGGTTTGATCCTGTTATCGTCCTGGTTTAGTCCCAGTTTGATCCCAATTTTGATTTGGCATGTAAAAGTGTGAACGCTTCCTAAACTACGACTGATCCTGTAAAATTACCCATACTCCTCTGTAATACTCTTTCTCTCCATCTCCTTTGCCCTCTCTGTGCTGTAGCGTCGTGCCGTGCTCCAGAGATCCCTGTGTGTGTGTTTGAGCCCCCAGCCGGCTACACTCTGCTGGGGTCCCGACACAGAGAGCCCCTGAGGGAGGAGGACGAGGACCTGCTGCAGTTTGCCATTCAGCAGAGTCTGATAGAGGCTGGATCTGAGTACGACCAGGTACTTCCAATACAATCCAACTTTATTACTAATGCACTTCAAAAACACAGCTGACCAAAGTGCAGTACACAACGATAATTATAAAAGGCAATAAAATAAACACATAAAAACACACTGCACACTATAAAACATCAAAATTAGTCACAATGAAATGCTAAAGAGAACAGGCGAGATTTAAGAGCTGATTTAAAAACCACAAGTGGCTAGGTACTTAGAGCTTAATGTTATCTAAATACTAAACTAACACAGCCAAAATAGTCTTATCTCCTGGTCACACTTTCTCACTCATATTATTAGGTCTGTCTTAGTTAAAGTTCCCCACCTGCTTGCCTCCAAAGTATGGTATTAAATTTGTCTATCTCTATGGAGACAAACAGGTGATGCCACCAGGCCAAGCTACAGGTCAGATCTATGGAGAGGTATCCTAGTTTATTGTCAGAATACATGTTTTTCAGATCAAATCTACAGGACAATTTGGCTATGGAGACAGAATCAAACCAAGCTCCTTTGCTGAGGACATTTGACAAATCTTGCTTACGCTATACATTTTTGCAATATTTTATCTTCAGCACATTTAAGCTGAGCCATTTAGTTTAGTTTGAGACTTGGCAACTGTTTTCCAGAAATACACACTTTAAGTGGTATGTGAAAGCATTACTGTCTCTATGTTTAGTGTGTGCTGCCAGTGCTTCTGTAATAATATTTACAGAAGTGCTATTGCCTTGTATGTGCTGAAGAAACAACACTTATATGGAGCCGGTTTATCATAACTACTGCAATGAGGAGTAGTAGTAGTAGTAATAGTAGTAGAAAAGTAGTAGCAGTAGTAATAGTAGCAATTTTGCATGCAGGGATCACCATGTCCTGTTTCTTGTCTTATCTAATCCCCAGGTGACCATCTGGGAGGCACTAACCAACAGCAAACCAGGGACCCACCCACTGTCATGTGACCCCAGCCGCTTGGACAGGTCAGAAACGTAACTCCATTTTATTTACACAGGTTAAGAAATTCTACAAAATCTAATATGGAGGACAGAGTGAAAATTACACTATGACTAAAGCCTAACTTTAGTGTAACTTTGCTGGTAGAGAGTCTGCCACCTGTTGTCCCCATGGAGATGAATTTTGCATGTATCATTGAATTACAGCAGTGACTCTAGCACTAGCTGTTGTGTTGTTTTATATGACATGATGTGTGAGTGAGTGTTTTTGGTGGTTGATGTGGCCGATGTAGCCTTGCTTCCGTATGTAGTGAATGAATAATCCAATGTAAACTAAACTGGGTATCTTAAAAGTAGGGATGTAACAATACCTGAAATATTGTGATATCGTATCGTCAAAGTTCTCACAATAATATTGTGGGCCATCACAATATATCGAATTACAAGTCTCTTTGCTTAAATTAAAAGTTATGGTGCAGCAATAGCTAAAAAAAAACAGAGGGAACTACATAGACCATGATCCTTTGCTCCATTTAAGTGTACATGAAGAAATAACAGTTCTAAGCACTTTGTAAGTCGTAGTTCTTTGGATTAAGTTTATTCAAGGCATTTTAAGAGGAAAAAGTAGCATATTCACAGTTTTGTTAGCCTCCACAAAATATTGCAATAAATATCGTACTGTGAGATGTATATCTTCATAATATCGTACTGTTGGATATTGTTACATCTCTAATCGTGAGCCTCCCCATCATATCATAAGCTTTCCCACGATATCACAATAAATATTGTACTGTGTGGTTCATACAATGACGATATCGTATCATGAGACTTGGATACCCCAACTTAAAAGGTGCTATATAAGTAGTAGTAGAACAAGTAATATCTCTTATGGTCTGGTTTGTTTTGATGTGGTCTGGCTTTCTTCCCTCTTTGCCTCTGTCTAAATCATTGGCTCCTGCTTGACCCCTTTTCTTCTCTGTGCCCGCAATACCACATTTAGTTAATTTTTCATCACAAGTCTGTCTACATCTCCAAAGCTCAAAATGCTCTGTTCCACCTTGTGACGTCATGGAGCAGTCATTTTCAAGTTTAAAGCTACCTTTTCACCTTTAGTTCAGTAGAGATGGGCAATTCCAGGTCTGATATCATCCAGATGATTCTAGTGAAGGTGTACAGACTTTAAAAACACAGTAAAGCTCTTCCTGTATTACCACATGACATCAGGTGGAACTCTTGGGTGTTAAACATCTGTAAATGATACAAAGCACAACTCCAGGTCTGTTTTTGAGGAGGAAACAACAGTGTAACACAGATGAGAAAATAGCATAACATGGGCCTTTTACTCCACTGTATACATTTGTACTACAGTTGTACCGGCTGCCCTCTTATTTACCTCAAAGGGGCAGTTCTGAACCGACTTCCTGTTTTAGCTCTTCTGTCATCCATCAGCAGGTTTTAATGACGCATCATTTCTTTTTATAGCTTCCTCTGTTCCTAAACGGACAGCAGAGCACAGTTATGGGAAATGGGATATTACATTATTACACTAACACTGTTTATGGATACACTCTGCCCTCACTAATAAGCCAGAGAAGATGGATTTAGAAATATCAGCCAATAATAAATTAAGGGCTTTTTCCACTGTCCAAAGCTATAAGTATGTTGTACTGGTTCTAATAATGAATAGAAATGGTTTAAAAAATATGTAACCAAAAGATGATGATGCCATAATATTATAATATAAATACTTCGAGATGCTGGCTTATAGTAAATGGCCAGGGTAACAATAACCACCATTGCAAATAATATGCCTCCTACTGTGCAATGGTTTCAATGTTTGTTTAGTATAGCAAACTCTCTAGCTATTTATTGGGAGTGTGTGACTTGGCCTGAAGGCTGGCTGCCATCTGTTAGTTTCCACGGAGTTGTTGCTGCTTTAGGACAAAGCACTGGGCCATTATATAGATCAGGATTTTTGGCCTAAAAAGGTAAGGCAAGGTTGACTTTACTCTCTCCAACCAGTGGCTCTGGGGCAACCTGTCTAGAGCAGTGAGCTACTTCTATTCAACACCAGAGGATCCAGGCTTAGTCAGGACTACCTTAGTTGGAGGATATGACCTGTTGTGCATGTTTTGGGTTGATGGGGAAGAAGATGCTACAATGCACAATGACCAATGGTGGAAATGAACTACAGTATTTTTCTGACTATAAGTCGCACTGGAGTATAAGTCATATCAGCCAAAAAAATGCGTAATGAAGAAGAAAAAAACATATATAAGTCACACCGGACTATAGGTTGCAAATCAGGGACCAGGAATCGACATTTCGTCTTGAATAAAAGAACAACAGTCTGGTATGTTAACGTAACATATGAACAGTTATTCCAGATAACTATTGCATAAATAACATAACATAAGTTTACCAAACTCTCCAGTTCCCTCCAAATCACTAAATTCATTGAATCCATTGAATTCATCATCCTTGGTGTCACTTCTGAGCAACTCCGCCCAACTTTGGTTATCACTGAAGTCCAGGCTTTGTCGATCCATCCAATGATGTCCAGGAAAGTTACATGGTGCACCCTCCCGGTTACCGTGAAGCTGTGTTCTCCATCCCCGCTTTCTGCCATTCCCTCACAAGTTTCTTGCTCACTCCAAACTTTCTTTCTGCTACTCGATTACTGTTTTCTGCTGCATATTTCACTACTTCCAGCAGGACAGTGGCTTTTTCTGCAGGAGACAAGAGCAGAACATTGACACACAAGCGTAGAGCACCCTCTCGTGACTGTCAATCTGAACATTTTAATATTTAAGTCCCACTGAAGTATAAGTCGCAGGATACGGTATTTTGCTAGAACCTGGCACAAACACATTACCTCTTTGTGTAGGTCAAATGTTTTTATGTGGTTTGTGCTTGATAAATAAACAAATAAACAAAACTAAACTAAACTACGGTGAGATAAATGCATTTACCATTAATTACACAGCAGCTATTAGAGTCTGGACATTTTGCTCATCACAAATGTAGTGGATATTAATATTTTCTTGCAGTTATTTGCTTTTATAAAAGGGGCACATAATCTGGATTGTTCCTTATCATGGCTTTAATGTATCTTTGTCTTCCTCCTTCCAGGACGCCTCAGCACAAAGCCCGTCCTGCCTCCAGCCTCTGCTCCACTCCATCCAAAAAACAACCAAACTCCTGTTGCTACGACGAACAGCTCCGCATCGCCATGGAGATCTCAGCGCGGGAACAGGAAGAGGCGGAGCAGCGGCGGCGGCAGGAAGAGGAGGAGCTGCAGAGGATCATACGCCTGTCACTCATGGAGAAGTGACTGCCGATTGGCTCACAGGGCTCCTAGGGGCGGGGTCTGTGGTACAGCAATGGACTGTCCAGGAGAAAAGAGCACATTTGTGCCACGTCCTATTTATACTAATGTACCTCCTCAGCTGTCAGTCAAACCCAGAGAGGAAAGAGGGAGGATGTTGTGTCCATGTAATGTTCCTGCATTATAAAGAGCCTGTGATTTCAAATGGAGTAGGGTTCTGCTTTGTTAGAATTAGTTTTAGTGTGATGCAGTTTTTGGGTTAGAAAAAGAAATCTGCTAACTACTCAACCAGCCAAATCATATCTTTCCCAATCTTTACTGTCAGCTGTGGCATTTGGGTTAGCTACCAGAAAATATGAAACTGCACAAAACAGAGTGACTGCAGTGTAAAATGAAGAAATTACATCATTGCAATGACTTGTGTATAAAAGGCCAATGAGGTAAGAACATGTTTTAGAATGAACTCTTTGCCTCGCCCAATTAGTTCTGTCTTTTATGTTGAGCCATGACAACTATCTGGGATAAGAACAGGAAGTTGACTCCAAATGGTTCTCATCCAACAGCATCTCTGATTGGATGAAATCAACTGTACCTGGCAGTTGCTTCTTTGTGGTTCTCATCCAACAGAATGCCTTTTAACCCTTCAGACATGTTTTACATAACCACACATAACTTTACAACCATAAAAGATAGGAACTTACATTTTTTTCCATTGAAAAGATGAGAGTTGCGGCCTACTGAACATATTTCCGGCATTGTCCTATGTCACACACGCGTGAATATTTGGAAAAATTTGAAAATTAATTGGAAAAATGTGTGTCCAATAGGAACTTTCTGCCAAATACATGTGCTCCATCCATTTTTATTGGCCCAAACTTTGCCAAAGAGTGTAGTGAGTCAAGATGTTTGACTGCTTTAAGCATCTATGTTTGAGATAACTGAAAAATCTGGTGTAAGTGCAGTTATTTCTCAAATAAATGACAAATTCCGGATCTTGGTCTGCATAATTGCACATCCCTTACTATTTTTATTTGAAAGGTTTATTTCACTCAAAATTACAAATAAAAATGTAATATACACCATGGAAATGCACTAAAGTGATGTGGCTCTGTGCCCTGTACTTGACAGGAACCAGTGAAGTAATGGGGCGATTGCATTTTTCTTTTGTTTTTGAGGGCAATAACTATATTTTTACTTTACTTACAGACTTGATATTTTTCCCTTTTGTAGCTAAGGCCCTAAATTAAGCATTTTTTATGTCCAAAAAATTGTGTATACATGTTTGCCATGCGTGAAGAGTGTGAATTATTTTCAGATTTTTTTTTTTCATCATTTGTATTTCTGGTCCTATAGCTTTTATTTCAGCCATATGACACAACTACAACATGGAGAATGTGAAATAACAGATTGTGCTGAAAAAAAAAAAAAAAAAAGGATTAATAACACTTCATTAGGGGGTAAAAGGGGGAGTTTTAATTGCTAAATTAAGGAAAAAAATCCATGCGAGGACAAATACTAAAATTGCCTTTATCTACAATATCCTTCAGTTTTCAGCCTCATTTTTTCACGTTTACAATATACTGTTTAAAATGCTTGTTATATATAGGACCCTAAAAAACAAGATTTAAAATGGTGCTGACTTTGATATCGTTGACATTCACATTGGCTCTTTCCTGTTGGGTTTGATTGACAGCTGAGAAATTAAGTTTTTGAGGAGGGAGTTGAATAGAGTCGGGACATGCCATTGAAGCACACTTTCTCCTCACAGATGGACCTTTCCCCTGGCACCCCCTACAGGTGATCTCTGGTGCCACAATGTACTTTTGAGCAGTTTACAAGCAACAATACAACGTAATAAGAACAAAAAAGATAAGTGAATGCCTCTTGGACCATCAGTGGCGGTGGTCAGTTTATTATGGATGTATGTCTGTTGGGTTTTCCTTTGTGTGCATGTGAGTGTGTTACAAAACCAGCTCTGCAACAAACCACTATGTTAAGAACTTTTATCATGGAGAAGAGGAAGCACCAAAAGAGTTGCCTGGGATCCAAAATACACACTTCTCCAGTACTTAGGATGTGACGTGACTGACTGGTGGATTAACAGGTCAGGGGCATGCATGGTCTGTCCGTATCAAAACAAATATCACAAGGGACTAAAAAAACATAGTGGATTTCTGTAGAATCAATAAGCGAAGTACTAAACTCTGTTAATCTGAGGTGAATTGTGATTTTATTCAGTATGATGGGCAGGGGCAGTCCCATCAGGTTTCAGTATGGGTGCTCACTTAACATGTTCGTTTCGAGCCTTTTAACAATTTAAATTCTTTTAATAGTGAGTACCCCCACCCCTTACCCTTTTTGCTTTGTTGTTTTAAGATGCATTGTTTAACTTTTCTGGTGGAGGGTCCATGATCTTCTTGTTTCTATGGATATATCATTGCTCTGCCTGGAATGTTCCACAGTAGACATTAAACAGATGTACATTACATTTATTCAGTTACAGGTGATTTTCTAGTTCAAAAATACCTAGAAAAACAGTGGCTCTGATTGTGAGCGGGGTTGCTTAAGGGTTAATACCATACTATGAAGTATTCCAGACAAAGCAATAACATCCACGGAGAAAAGCTTTGACGGACCCTCCTCCACAGAAAAGTGACACAATGCACCTTTGAACAAAATGTAGTTAGCATCTTGTAGTGATTTATAAAACTTAATATTGAATAATTATTTTCAATAAATCTGTGGTTATCATCTGAACATTTTTAGTTGAGATTGAATGCAAGAAAATGAAAATAAAAAAATGAAAAAGGCAAAAATCTATGGGGGAGCTATAGGGTGTGCATTGGCCATTCTAGGGGAGCCTAATTCCCACTCAAGCCCCCTGATTCCCCCCTGCTGATGGTTAACCAGTTATCTTCTTTGATTCACCTGCATCACTGAAAAAAAAACAAAAAAACTGATTGGACGATCATGTTTAGTTCTGTGGTGACCAGAAAGAAATCCCCTGTATGAAAAATAGACATCATTCTGGATTTGCCAGGCAACCAAAAGACTTAAGATTTTGCTAAATAATTTGCTTTAATTTTAAACTTAAAGGGATTATATGTAGTTAGTTACATAAATATTCATTGCAGCCATTGCATCTACAAGAGCACTGTTTTTAAGAAGTCAGTACCACTTTACAACAACTCAAGAGGAAAACTCACTAAACTAACAATTTTTTAAAATCTTTTTTTATGGTAGACTTATCACCTTCTATTAATTTATTTATTTTGGTGGAAAAAGAGCACTACATACACTCCCTTTAAAGGATTGTGAATTTGAATGTGCACAAAATTGCTTATGGACAGTTGAATAAGCTTCTTCAGTTTCGTTTTGTTTTAAGCACAAACCGTCCCAATGTACTGTACTCTGCTTGTGGTGAGTTCAGATACGAGCGATTTTTATGGGCTGATGATGGGAGCACAAAATAACCAAACTGTGGCTAAGAGGATTACCAATATTAGAGGCTTGAATGAAAGACTGCATTAGTGAATGTGACAAGTTAGTACATAATTTAGGGTTGTCAATAACTTGCAAAGTGAAACTAAAAATAATAATATGGTATGTACAATAACTCAGCATGGTTTGCACCTCTACACAGTAAAGACAGTTCGCCAGCTTTGACTTTTGCTACAAAATGGTCTTTAATGTGTTGAAATATATTTAATATGTTAGAAGGTTACTAGGCAACAAGGTACTGAAAAAATAAAAGGGTATTGGTAAGGGTTGGCCACCAGCTACCCTGTTATGTTCTTGTTTCGGAGAGAATGTTCCACACTACAGCTTTAAACTTCAATCTAGTACAAGTGATCCTTTCTTTTGTAAAATTAATGACGTTCATGGTTCCTGACAAACAAAGAATAAATAAATAAATAAATCTCCATGGAAACCCACAGATGACACTGTGTAAGGGAACCAGTGGCGGCTGGTGGAATTTTTTTTTATTAGGGGGGTGGCATAGGTCAAAATCATAAATATATATTATAAATATAAATATATCTATCAGTCTATATCTATCAGAGCACAATGCACAACCAAGCGCAAAGTTTATGCAGCAGTACAACCTGATCCACTGCTCAGGCTTCTGAAGAGAAGATATATTACTCCCTAAAAACTGTTACTCGGATGCACTTTGACTTGAAATTGAACTTGCCATAGCTGTATAGTACAAAGCTCTGTTGGTATCCATTCATTAGCCTGTAGCAGTAACATGCTGCCAGTGGAGAGTTGGGGCTGGGCGGGAGCTAGCTGCACACTGAATCACAATGGTTCAGATGTGTGATCATATTTATAAAAAACAATCACCTGAGTTCGGGTCTCCCGCACCCTGCACCACCGAGATGTATTAATGACATCAAATTTTCTCAAAACTTCAGACTCTCCCACAGAACTCCGTTAACTTGCTCCAACTCAGCAAACTCAAATTCCAAACACACGACTCAAATAAAGTGATATGAGCACATTTAACATGATAAAAATATGTCTATGCAGAAACATATAGCCTGATACAAAATAACAACTTAATATATGTTTTTTGTTTTGTTTTTTTAAATCTAGGTCAAATTAGAGGCACACTTACGCCCTCTACTGACCAGCCGCCACTGAAGGGAACATTTCTTGACACGTTCCCTCACACAAAGTTATGGGTCAGATCAGTGGAGGTGTGTCCCAACTCATTGTAAGAAGGCTTTTTGACCAAAAAAAAACACATGTAATAGAATAAATGCAAGATACATTTGCTTAAACCCACATTGAGGAACATTCTAGGCAAGCATCTCCATGAAGACAAACAGGTGCAACATTTAGCGCACTCAAATTCAGTTACAAAAATCCTCTCCAATTTCTTGACATATTCCAATACGCATATAAATAAGTTCACAATTTTGCAGGGCTCAAAGCTGGTCAGACTTTACACAGTTCCGGAGAGTTTTGTTTCTTTTACTTTCCTACAATATAATAATGTACCTTGACACCAACAGCACAACCCAATGAAAATGCCTTCTCTCCTGTTTAAAGCTTGCTTGGTTGACAACACGTTTTTGTACTTTTAAAAAATAAAACGAGAAGCATTTTTTGTGGCGAATGCTGAGAAATACATGTGAAATAAACTTCTTTGCAACAGTAAAATATGTATGTGTGTCTGTGCCTGTCCGGTCACTAATCTCCTTTCATTAACTTCAGCTTTAAATCCTATGGGAGTTGAGTGAGTTTTAACTACCGCACTCAAATGTAACTATGGCTGAGTGAGAGACAGTGCCAAATCCAATTAACTTCACACGAGATTGGAAGCGCTATTGTCAAGAGAAAATCTGTTTTTAGCATCATCATCCTCCTCCTCTTCCTCCTCCTCCATGAGCTTTGCATGTGTCAAGAATTCCCAGTGAATTACCCAGAATTCTTTGGGGGTTGGCTTGCAGCTGTTATTTTAATCCAGAAGTGAAAATGACAGGTCTGACAGTCCCAAAGAAACTGTAAGGTCCTCATTGAGATTCAAATGTAAAAAATAAATTCAGAACGTACAATTGTTCAAAGTATCAACTTTACCCAGTAGAGCTGTGTCAGAAATAAACTGTTTGCCAATGTGCAACAGGATTTTATTTTATTTCATTTTTTTAAATGCCAGATGCTCTTATTTATTTATTTATAGAGCTTGGTATAGCAAATAGTTATCACACCATTGATATTTAACTGCTATAATCAATTGTGACTCCAATGTCAAAAAGTAAAAAAAAAAAGCGAACCTTTTAAATCATATCACGTTTAAGTAATTTTCTAGAATGCAAAAATATAAAGTAAGTAGAGAAACAAATTTTAACAATGTGCAAATAAATATCCAATGGCCAGTTATGATAAAATAATATTTGAATGCATCTTAAAGCACTTTATAAATGTAAATTAATTTAAAATTTTAATTCAAAATGGAAAAAAATACAATGTCATGGTGAAAACACATATAAGTGCTCTTATTAAATTTAATAACATACAGTATATATAAGTTTATGTCTTTAGTCTATCAAATGCTGTATTTGACTTTCTTTGAACTCTATTTAAACTGGGGAGAAAAAACTTGAAAAAATTTTAATCCCATTATTTTCAATTTGGCATCACGCAAACTCATAAAGAAGAAAATAGCATATGTTCATGGGTTTCAGCTTCCTGTGCCAATTCCTGTTTTAAGGAATTTTCACCATTCAGAAAAAATATAATACTTTGCTTTTTGTTGTTAATCACTATGGTAACAGTCATCATTCTGATATATATGTAGCCAGTGCCTTACAAATTCCTCGTTACATATTCTGAGCTTGTATCCACAGATGCTTCAGAGTCTGTCTCCCTGTGCGTCCGTCAGCAGGATCCAGTGGCCTTTATCCCACAGTTTAATTACCCACATGAAACAGTCAATGAAATGTCACCCATAAATAACACACACACACCTCCTCCTCTGAAGAAGAAGGAGAAGAAGAAGAAAGCTTGTTCAAAGTCTGGTACCTGCAGGTAATAGTGTTTATAATCAACATACAACATAGTGGTGTTTTGACCTTTAAACCTGCTTCTTAAAACATATGCAATACCCTTTCCTTTGCACTTCTGAATTGCATTGGTGAAACTTTAAAGGTGTACTGTGTAACTTTTCTAGTGGAGGGTCCATTACTTGCTTGTCTCTGTGGCGATGTTATTGCTTTGTCTTGAATGTTCGACAGTATGGAATTAAACTTGATAAACACCTTGCATTTAATAAACTAATGTGTTTTTATCAACTTAAAAACATGCACTTTTACTGTGAGTGGACTTGCCTCTCCACAGATCTGACCTGTAACTTGGCCTTGTGGCACCAATTGCCTGATCTTTAGATAAATAAGCGTAATGCCATACTGTGGAACACTCCAAGCAACACAGTAACATCTCTATGGAGAGAAGCAGTTGAAGGACCCTCCATCAGAAAAGTTACACAGTGCATTTTCATGTTGTAAAAACATTTTCAATAGTAGCATGTCAGCCACCCTTGACACACTCCACATTCATACGAGACAAGGTAGATGAAACGGCTTCCCAAAGGACACAACAACAATTTCCACAAGAGCTACTGCCACACCTGGTGCTCACAGCGGTCTCCCATCCAAGTCCATCCAATCACTTCCAACGATATCTGACAATAACGGAATGGAAAGAGATGGTCGTTTTTTTCTTTTTTTTTTAATACAAATTATTCCATGCTTTTTAGTCTATTTGGTTTCTTATTGAGTGTGTTTATTTAAAGGACTATCAAAATAACCCACATCTAACAGGTTATAATTCTGGCTGTATGATTCTGATTCTGATACCAATGCTAAAGTGAACTACTGGCTTCAGAATAATGAAAAATCTGGACCATTCCCATATCAATAAAAGTCATATAAGTGAGTAGATTTATAAGAATAAAATCTAAGGTGTTTGATATTATCAGATTTGCAATTTTAAAAACTACGAGTCATAGCCTTGAAAAACAAATTGTTTATGACACCGCATATAGATAAGTATAGTACAAGTAAGTATATTTTATTGTGAAGGTATGAAAAAGTTCTGTGATTCTTGACTTGATTAACGCAATACAAGGGTGCAATTCTCACTGTGGCCACTAGATGGTCCAAGAATCAAGATTAAAGGACGCATATTATGCCATTTTATGATCTATGTTATAATGTTGTTTCCTCATCAAAAACATTTAACACACAAATCCTGCATATTTAGACTCTCTACTCTCATCACCAGCTTGTGATGTCATATGGTAATACAGGAAGTGCTCCACTCCATATGCCTTCGCTAGAATCATTTGGATAATGTCAGCCCAGGAATTGTGAGTCTTTACTAAACTAAAAGTAAAATGTAGCTCCTAAATTGAAAACTACCACTACATGAGATCACAAGGTGGAATAGAGCATTTTGAGCTTTGGAGATGTGGACAAACAATAAAGGATTACTCAAACATGTGTGAATGAAACAAAACATAACTCCAGGTGTTTTTGTGGAGGTAACAACTTTCTAACATGGCTCACAAGTGTCAATTTTGTGTAATATAGTAGGACCAACTATGATACGACGGTAGGATGGATTGTATTTTACTTCAGTAGACTGAAATTACAGTGCAATAAATGAAATAAGACAGGTCAACGTTTTGGACATTGCTAAAGCCCTTTATTAAGAAACAACATGTCAGCTTTGCCCTGGTTTAAAAATCTGAACGAAGATACAAGAGAGGACCGTCTAGCCTCGTCTGACTTCAGTGCAAAGAATACTCTGGATAAGAAACGCCAAATAAAAGAAAATCAACATCCAAAAACAGTGTAAAGTGCATGTTTTGAGAGAGCGCCCCCTGTCTGAACACACTGAAAAACGTTATAAAACAATAGAACATAACATACAGTAATAATGCATAATATGATTCGGTCTTTAGACATTCATATTAAACCTGAAATCCAGTTTATTTAGCACATCCAGTGGTTTAACATGCAAACAGCCTAGCATCCATTTCTACATTTACTCTGCTACTTACAACTGCCAGTAATCTGACAATTTCACACATACATGCATTCGAATCCAGTTTATACCAACTCCAGTCCTTTTACATTGTATTGTACAGCACAGTGACAGCTCTATGCTTTTTATCAGTGGAGATTTTGCGAGAACGCCTGGATGAAGCTGCATGTCCTTTTCCCTGTTTTTGTGCAAGCTCTGCCCCTTCGCCGACGTCATCCTTTTGGACACAAGACGTCGACTTACCCTCCTCATTTTGGTTGGACGAAAGAGGGACAAAATTGGAGGCTTTCTGCTTTTCTTTTCTGTGTTTTGATTTTCTGGAGTGTGATAATAAAGTCTTTGTATGCGATGTCAAATCCAAATCGTTTAAATCGTTAGTAGACAGCTCAAGAGAGTCAAGTTTCGCCAAAGACGCCGATCGTTTCATTAGCGAAGGCGGGGTTAGGCCGGCTTGGCGTAGCCTCGCTTCAAGTTCGATAGCTCTGTGCCATCCCGTCGGCACAGGCGATTTCTCATCTTCTGTAACCTTTTCAGCAACGTCAAAACTCGAATAGCTAAGAGTGTCTTTACAAATTTCAGTGTCCATTTTGTCAGAAAGTTGATTCTCCATGTTTACCCCATCAAAAAGAAACGCTTGTAGCTCCTTTAGTGTTTGCTGTATTTTCTCAAGTTCCTGGCTACCCCTCGCTAACCTATTTTGGGCTTCGCAATCAGGACTGCACCCCAAAACTTGAGGGTCTGTGTCCGAATCTTGCACAGTTACTCCATCTAGACTCACATTTTGCGGTTCAACATCTTTGCTACTAATATGCAGTCTTTGGGATGGGGTTGAGGTATGTAAGATCTGGCTGTCAGTCTGTAGTGATCTCTCAGTTTGGCTTTCAGTAGATGCATGCACGGCACCTAAATCCTGGCTACAACTTGAATCAATAAAGTCTGAAGCATCAAGTATTTTAATGTTCTTGTCACAATATTTTGGCGATTCAACCTGTCCCTGAGTGTTGCCATGTTTTGAAGAGTCTGTGTATTCGTTTGCTTGTTGCAGAGTACGCATGGGAGAGTTTTCATTGCTGGGTGAATGCAGTGGAGATCGCACAGCTAACATCTCCTGTTTCAGCTTCTGCTCCAGCTGTTTCGTAGCTCGCCGAACAGATCCGACGGGCCACTCGCTGGGCAACAGGGAGGCAGTTTGGAGAGTGGAGGGGGGGGTGGCGGAGACCGGTTCGAGCCCAGATTCGAGGTGAGGTTCCGGGTGAGAGAGCTGCAGACAGGGGGTGGATGAGGAGGTGGTTATTGTTGGCGGAGAAGATGCGACGTGCGATATGGCTTCGATCTCGGTGACAATATGGCGGACGGATATGCAGTTGTCATGGTGATGGGTGGGGTCAGCACTGTCTTCAGTCTGGACAGAAAGAAAGAGAAAAGCAAAGGATCAGTATTTTTATTACAGTTTTATACTATACTACAACTAGTGAAGGAAAATTGATACTCTGCAACGACCTCAAGCTGGGGGTGTGCTACATGCATCTCTAATGGTGGAATGTTTAAGAGTTACGATGGTGACACAATGCACACATTAGTAAACACTGACAAAAAACTTTTAAGATTTTTTGAAAAGTCAAGATAATTAATCCCAGATAATTGATAATAGATATAAAAACTGAAACATGAATTATTGAACTATAGAAGTTTTAATATTTAAAGGGGTAATTATTGGGATTGGTTATCAGCAAAACAAATTGAACAATGGAGTATGGGACCATTTTGAATAACCTCATAGAAACAGACACATTCACAATACTATTAAAATTACAATTTAAAAAGAAAGTTTTAGTTTGGATGTTATTCTAGTTCGATGGCTCGCAAAGTTCACACCAAGTACTACCACCGAGTAACACCTGATCTAAACCAGGTCTAAAATAGGACAACACCACCAATTACTGACTTAAATGAACAGGAGAACGAGAAAAATAAAGTCTCTGTACCAGCAGAACAAGCACACACATCACTGTTTGAGAACCACTGTTTTACTTTATTAAACTGCAATTACCTGGCTATTTTCTTTCTCAAGTTTATCATCTTCTTTAGTCTCAGTTTCTTTGTTTTCCTCCACGGCTGGTGACAGGAGCGTAGCATGTGTCCCCTGCTCCGTTTGCTTCTGGGGTCTCCCATCTTGAGCTAGTCCCAAAAACTTCTCTCTAGCGCTGAAGAAATCTATACTGTCCGTACTGTGTGTGGACGAACCATCACCCTCCCCGCGTCCTTCTACGGCGTTGTCCATATTCAAATGACTTGGGTTATTATTGTCGTCGCTTTGAATGGAAGAAAGTATAGGTACCGAGACTGCGGGGCTAAGGGGAGACACTTTTTCACTTGTTAAATCTGAAAGGTCTTGAATGTCTGTATCTGTAGACCCCAAAGTCTGTGGAGATAGGTCATCAGAGCCGTTTTTTACAGGCAAATCAAGAGAAAGTTTGGGTTTAGGCACTGAATTGTCAAGTTGCGATGTTGCAAGCTGGGCGTGTTGCATCTTGGGAGTCGAGGGCAGTATGTGGATGGAAGGCGGGGGGTGAGGTAACGCTAAAGGGACAGTTATGGCAACACGAGTTGAATTATCTGTGCTTTCTTCTGGGATAACAGTAGCTGCGCGTGGTTGGGGTAGCTCGTTTAGGAGAGGGTTCACCTCTTCCTCGTGATGTGGTGATTCGGCCCCGTCGCTGGAGCGGGAGTCAGGAGAGGACGAGGGGGAGGAGCTTACGGGGTTGGAGGTCAGAGCCTGGAGAACGGCCACGCCTAGGAAGTCCTGTAACGAGGGGGAGGAGGGGATGCTGTTGTTGTTGTGGGAGTCGGAGCGCGTCAGGGTTTGGGAGGGTTTGCATGAGGGGTCCGAGCGGTCGGAGAGGTCGCTGTCCGAGTGGGAACGCCACAGTTTGTTATGGCGCTGTTTGCTGCAAGAACAGAGAGACAGCATTTACTTAGTTTAGACGCATAATATTTGTGGTTTTGGCTATTTTTAATAATTTAATTTGCACAATTCTGTAAGCTTTTAATTGCATAAACCCAATTTGTTTTACACCTGATGGCAAAAACTGTCCAACATAGTTTTTCCTCTTCTATAAAATCAATAGTATTATAACAAAGTATTATAACACCGTATTAAAGTTTAAAATAAGATAGTATTATTGGAAGCAGTAAGATATCTAGCTATTGAATTTGTTCTTTCTGTTTATTTTGAAATGGCAAGGTTATTTGATTATTCTAGAGAACCATGTGTCTCGATGGGGATTTTTTTATGTAAACAAGATGCAAATTCTGAAATGTATCTTTCTCCACGGTTTGTGTATTTAAAATATTCACTGTGAACTGAATCATGATGTTAAAATATAAATTGTAAATCTCTTGCCATCTCTGCACAGTCACGATAATTCTATATTTACTTCAGCAATATATCACACTTCAAATTTTTTTTTTATCATGACAGGCCTTTTGTCCAGAAATAAAGCACTTATTTTCCCATTTAATTAAACCCTTAAATCTCTAGTAGAAAGTACCACCCTCTTACCTTGCCAGCAATATGCCCTGGTACTCCTCGAGCTGCCTCATGAAGGATGGGTTGGGTTTTGTGACGGAGCGTTTGTCTTTGACGTACTCCAGCGCCGTGTCCAGGTTCCAGCCGTACTCCTTCATGGCGTACGCGATCACAGTGGAGGCTGATCGACTGATGCCCATCTTACAGTGAACCAGGCACTTGGCACCGGCTTTTCTGGAAGACAAAAATGCAGAGAGCATTTTAGGACAGAGCATCTCGGGTAGACAGCTTTTTACTAGTAACAAGAAAACAATAATGGCCAATTGATATTTAGCTATTACCAATAAGGTGATCCAAAGATGACAACATTTAAACCTATATCCATAAAGACATCCATGAAAAGACAATTCGAAACACGAATTCTTATATTTTTCATTTAGGTACACTTCTACACTCCACTCTTGATACCCCATAAGTAATACTGTTGAACTCAAACCTTGATGTACAATGTAATTACAAGTTTTTACCATGTTGTTACAAAGTGTGTTATAATGTACCTAAATAACATAACTGTGTAGCCAAGGTTATGTCAAGACTTTCCGAACACCCCAAAATACGTACTTGGCTTTAGTGATAAACTTGTAGGTCTCGTTCCAGTATTCCAGCAGATTCGTGGCCTCTTCGTCGTAAACTCTGATGTTGTGATATTCAAACAACCCGGGGAAAAAATTGTCTATCTCCCTGGTCACGTTCAAGATGTATCGGACTCTATGGGAAAGGCAGAGGGAGAGGAAAGGTTGAAAAACTGATCATTAAAATGGAACCACCACTAAATCTTATTATTATTAAAGTCAGGACGGTAGACTCAGCGGTGCAAGAACCTAATTTAATGCTACAGTGGTGCTGAGAGTTACGACCACACTGAACCTTACCCGCTGTTCTGCAGCTCCTCCAGATTAGAGGCGTTCCACTCCGAGCCCTGAACACAAAATGAAGCAGATAAAAGCTCTGGTTATTTTTATTCTATTTATTCTGATCTAAATGCTCAGAAAAATGTCACTACAATGCACAGTTCTGTTTTGTTTTTGTGTTCAAGGGACTAAACCTAATTTTTAAATATAATAAAGTCATATTGTTTTGCCCCAGAAAAATTATATTAAACCTCAAGACCAGTGTGCTGTCTGCATCAAATTAAGTGATTTTTTATCCGCGGAACTGTTAGCATCTTTATTGTTAACAGTGTTGTGAAAAGTTGTGAAACATGCTTATAAACTCACTATGGTGAAGAAGTTGGACACTCAAAATGTGTTTAAACAGTAAGAAAGTTTGGACTGCTTCAGATAGTTTAATATGAATTAGTTTCACATTTATAAGACTGCAAAAATCAGTTGCAGTGTCTTTATATAAATTGCTTAGATACATACAGTACATACACAGTGTTATCTCTTCCACAAATATATCAATAAGAAAGAATCTAAATGGCCACTAGCAATGTTTTGGTTTAACTGAACAACTGCAAAACATACATACTAAAATATATTACTGCGCTAATAGCCATCTAGAGATTTTATATTCTCAAGAGGAAGAAAATCGTGCCCTAAAAACTTAAAGTAGGTTGATTTTGCATTATAAGGGAAGCTCTGACCTTTATGGTGCATAATGCTTTAATCTAATCTAAGATTTGAAACAGGCTTCAGTTCTCACCAGAAAAACGTGGTCGAATATTTCCGTGGGGCTGTCCATCTGTCCCAGGATGACAATCATCTCGTTATCGATGAACCCCTTGAACTCTCGCAAATTACAAACCATTTGCATCTCCAGCTCTGTGCGGATCTGAGGAAGAAAATAAGATAAGACACTTTAAAAAAAAAAATAGTTTTAATAGACAGTGATAACTTGACAATATTCTAATTGAAATGTGTTCTGTGTGTCTCCAAGAGAGTGATTTATTGATCATAGTTAGACAAAACAAACTCCAGGCACTCCAGATCTGGTCTACTATAGTTGAAACATGTTGGCTTTGGCCATGTAAATAAAAGCCTTTTAACTTTTCCTTGTGCAACTTTTACTTTTCTGGAGCGCCTGAATTTCATTTTGTCTAAATTTTGATCCTTGTTTTTTCCAAAAGAACCCTCTACCAGTTTTCACTGAGTGGAACATCTGTAACAAAAGGCTACATTTTTCTGTATTTGTAGTTTAGTAGATTATTATTATTATTATTTATTTATTATTTATTGCCCAAATCTCATTTCAAAACTCTAGTCATATAAAATTTCGACTTGCCATTGGTTCCTTCTAACAGTGAGAACAAAAACTCTTTACAGGTGACATTTTCCAGGTTGTTCTGCATTAGGATTTAGTATTGACACCTGCTCAAATTATTATCTAGTTTTGATGCTTCTTTTAGTATCGATTAGTATCTGATTTTCAATACTTTTGACACCACTATAAAGACTATTACAATCAGTACCTCTTTACAGGTGACATTTTCCAGGTCTTTCTGCATCATGATTTCTCTGAGTCTCATTTTGATTAGCCTCTCCGTGCGTTCTCTTTCAGTCGGGCTGCAACAACAACACAAAAACAAACAAGGCTTTCATTACGATCTATTCCTGTTCCCAAAATACCACTTTGATTATCTGAATGATAGTATCTCTAATAAGTTTGCATACAGATTTGTTTATGCTGGGAAAACAATACAGCTCTTGTTGACATGGCAGTTTTTGTGCGTAGATGCATCACTGTCCATCTATAGGACGTATTTAGCCTCCATGCGTCAGAAAGATGGCACCAACAACCAAATTTTTGAATAATCCTTTATTATTCATCTGTCTACATCTCCAATGTCCCAACTTGTGATGTCATGAAGCAGAAGTTTTCAAGTTAACAGCTTTTACTTCAGTCAAGATTGGCAGTTCTAGTGCTGAAATGATCCAAATGATTCTAGTGAAGGTGTATGGGGTTTAAAAACACACTGGAGCACTTCCTGTATTGCCACATACATTTGAATGAAGGATTTGCGTGTACTAGGAAAACAATAAAGGTCTTGTTGACATGGTTTTTGTTGTGTGTTGATGCGTTACTATCCACTTTGCTATAGGACGTATTTAGCCTCATAGCCTTCGTCAGAAAGATGATACCAACAAGTGTCCTAATGACACCTCAGGAGGACGGGGCTGGCTCAGAAGGAGACCTCATTTTCTCTAGAGCTTTTGAACCATCATCTTCTCCACACATACTTAGGTCGTGTTATTCACGCTCTCTGTCTCTATGATGGAAAATGTGTGGATACTATACAAAAGCTTGGCTTTGTGAAAAGTTGAGGTACAATAATAATGGGCTGTGGATGAAAGTTAAAGTTGCATCTGCATGGTGATCTGGGTTGAAAAAGTTTTTTCCTTCCCGATATAAATTTCTAATCTATTTGGATTTTTGGATTAGTCATTGTAATGTAATGTAATGTAATCTGTTGTAAGAAATGGTTGTACTGGTTTACCTAGTGAAAAACCAAGTAAATAAGGTTTTAAACTCTTCAAACGAGAAAAGAAAGTAAAATAACTCACAAAATGACATACAAGTCTATTTTCTGAGTTAGACATGAAAGCTTAGTGGCTTGATAAAAGACATTATAACATCAGTCCAGTTCAGGATACTAGAACTTGAGCATTGCCAGGGCTCTCTAAAGATTTTCTGGGGCAAATTCAATGTAATCAAGTTTAACATAAACTTGGCACTGTGCACTGTATTTGTTATTTTAGTATAGTCTGTAAATAAACAATATCAGTGTTTCCCATTAATATAGGAGACCATGGTGGCTCCCCATAGTCTAAAATAAACTGGACAATATATGGACACAACAAATTTAGATTCACTATATTATCATAAACTTATAAATAGAGACTACACTGGTCCAAAAATAACAGCTTAAGATTAAGTGACATTTGTACTCCACAAACTGAATGAAAAAAACATCATAGTCTTAACAAAATCCATGGGAAACACTGAATATTATTTATTACGGCAAAGGGAAGCATCAAAGTAAAAGTTCCATTGCACAGTTTTCAGTATACAAGTAAATAAACTTGTTTTGTTTCAGTAACTAGGTCAAATTCTGCATTAGATATTTTGTACCTTTTATGGCTACGTCTGTTTTGCCCTTACTTAGCCTTCTTCCAGACTCCAGGGGCAAGACTATAAGTATCCCATTTACTAACAAAACAAAGCACTAAAAACCTGCCGTGACATGCCCCTCAAAGCCTGGGGGGGCTTTACTGGACATAATTAGCCAAAATGACGTGTTGATTTTATGACGACACAAGCTTAATGAATAACATGAACTTGGGAATCAGCAGGAGCTTACAGTAATACCAGTAATAAATCGTAGCAACAAGAAAAACACTAGAATATTTCCCACTATCTGCATGTGTGATTAAAGGTACCAGGAAGTTAAGCGGTGTTGACAAAGGCTAGACAAAAGGCAGTTTAAGTAATAGGGGATTTTACAGTTGAACTTGCTGGAAACGTTTGTCTGACCTACGCTAATCTTATCAATAGATAATCTTGAGAGCAACGAAAATTTCTTGTTAAATATTTATAATAGCCGCATGACTAGAAAAATGGATTGATTGTGTGATTGTTTTTCAAGTGTCACTATATTTAAGCACTACTCTGTGTCCCAGTGGTGACTTCCTGTTTACAGCAGACAAAACAGTCACTGCCAATTCATTATTTCAGACATAAATTTGGACAATGGGATAAAAATAAAATACAAAAAAAAAAAAATAAATTATAATTCATAAAGGTTAAACCTGAATGAGTTTCTATGTTTTTTCAGTGATTCCATTAAAACACCATTTTTACCAGAACATTTTCTTTGCAATGATACGGAGACTGTTGTTATTTTGGTTGTAATATAATACGATTTCAGCTGTAGAGGATTTAATAAGTAACTTCTATGGTTAATTATTGGTTAATGCTGTGATACTGTTTATATAAAAATGGTTCACTGGGATTAACCTGTTTTATTACTACTTCTACTACTGCTATAGAAACTACTTTATGCCTCTAACACAAACAACAAAATGTGCGTCAATATTTGTTATCGTGACAGGCATAGTGATCAGCATCAGCAAAGTAAACAATTTGCCTCATATACTGTACAATATGCAGAAATGCAGAATTTAAACTGGATGCCCTTCCTCATGTTATTTTTTTGTAATCCAAGTTTTTATTAGTAATGTGAAACCAGTTCCAATCATAATAAAAAGATACCGTAATAACGCTTTATGTCTTCCCTTTAACGAGAAATGCTACTTAAATAAACAAAAATAAAATTTAGTGTTTTATTTTTTATTTTGGATGGGTTTATTGCACCGACTAACAAAAACATGCACCATTTCTGTGAGTAGGCTTGCATCTCCACAAACCTGACTCTTATTTATATTCTGCTTATCTTCATGGAAATGTAGTTCCTTTGGCTATATTATTCCAAAATAAGACATAAAACATATCTATCATGGAGAATGTTGTCAAGTATGGTTTTAATTTTTAATCATCATCTTTTTATTTCCATGGAATCAAGCAGGTAACATGCTACCCCGGAAATTTATGCACTGCCACTTTAAAGTGGTATTAAAGAACAGGTTCATAGCTCATAATAAATGTGTGCTTCCTTCTTCACCTTCACCTGTCTTGGCCCATCCTAATATCAATCTTTCTCTCTCCCTATTTGTCTCCCTGTCTCCCTTTTTCCAAGCGTAAATCAAGCCAGCTCAGGCCCCAGCTATTTCGGACCCCAGGGCCTTCTCCAGAGACACTACAAATAGGTAGCAGGCCCACGTGACCCAGCCTGCAGCCGCTAGGGGAATTTCCCTGCTGTTAGCAAAGACATAAATCCACCGTTCTGCGTCATTCCCTGGACTTTCTACACGAATCTTTTGGGATTTCTTGACAACTTAATGTTTCTCTAACTACAAAGCCATCTATGTCCAACTATGTCCAATATTAACTTAGACTGGCATGGACTTTCTGAGCTGGAGAATATGCTTTTGTTCTCAGGCCCTAGGGACATGTGACCTTCCTTCAAGTGTGCTATAAGTATAAAACCTCCTGTGAAGTACAAGCAAGTACAAAATATGAATAGAAAAATATCTCTCTAAATATAAATCTATATCAAAATTTCTATTTTATAAAAGGTACAATGTTTGTCTCCTCTGAGATTTTATTATTTTGCCTGGAATGTTCCACAGTATGGCATTACACTCATCCATCTCCCACAGAGTCAAGCACTTGTGATTTGGAGAGAGGCAAGCCCACTCCCAGTAAGAATGCAGGTTTGTCAAGGATTTTTTGAGAAATAAAATCACCTGTAATATAATCAATTATATTATAATTATATAATCAGTTCAAAACTGAATGCCATACTGCGGAAAATTCCAGGTAAAGGAATAACGTGGCAAAATGTTGGCAAATCACCCACCAGAAAGGTTACATATTGCATTTTTAACAAAAAAAACCCTTAATAATTGTCTTTCTGTATTTGGGCAGTGGAGTTTTTGCAGTGGAGCAGTTGACCCATGGGAAAGTCTTAGCTAATGGTGTTGAGGACATCTCATTTGTGGAAAAAGCTAAATAACTTCTATGAACTGTTTTTCTGTGAATCTGGTTTATTTGTATTAGGGAGGTCTTAGTATTACCACTGCAGATGCAGTGATGTTTTTCATAAATGCTCAGCACCTGTCTCAGATAATGTCAACAAAACACGGCTGGGGAAAGAGTGTTTTTGAGCCTAGAAGTCTGTGAAATGCTCATTTGGTGCTGACTGTCAGACAGTTATTTCACTTTTAGATGTTTCTTTTGCCATGCAAAATGTTGTATAATAAATACACTGCCATAGCCCATGTAACTTTCCCTCTGTTAGCATGTCGCTCGAACAAAACAATGCATTTTGGCAAAGGACCTGACAATTTCCCACTTTATTCTTACGTCCCTACATACTGTATCCGTCTATTCAAGAATAAACTGAAATAGCCCGAGAGCTTGGCCTATGTCATCAGAGCTATAATACTCCTTACAATGGAAGCATAACCGGACTGGACTGCACTAAACTAGAATGGACAAAACTATCACTAAAAAAATTTTTTCTCCAGCTTCTTGGGCTTCTTTTTTTATTCTACAACACTGTTCACTAGGGGTGCTGTGGTACTTACAGGTCAGTGAAGAGGATGGGGGAGGAGGCGCGGTGAGACTCCACGTCCTGCATGGCGTTCCACTCATTGACGCAGACCTGGCTGGAGGAGATCCGGCTCTGGTAGTAACTGACCCAGGTGAGGAACAGGCTCCCGGGGTAGTAGTTATGGCAACGGGCAACTTCACAGGCTTTGTGGAGGGACTGCAAGGCGGACCTAAAGGGAAAAATGTTGCGAGGAAATGATCATTTTGATAATTTCAGAGAATTTTTAGATATGCAACATATTTACAAGTTCTAGTTCAGATCAATGTTTAGGTACTAAACAGAAGTACAATGAAGCAAGAACTAACAAGCTTAAAGGTGCTCTCTAACTGCCTTATTGGAGACATTATGTCGCCTGGAATGTTTCACAATATGAAACATTAAACTTCTTTATTTCCATGGAGACAAACAGGCGGTGCCTCCAGACCAAGTAACAGGTCAGATCTGTGGAGAGGACACCCCGCTCAAAGAAAGAATGCTACAGAAAAGTTTAAGGCCAAACTGAGAACATTCCCGGCAAAATAAAAAAAAAAAAATCCATGGACATAAGTACTGAAATAAAGGTGGTTTCTATTTCATTGCCTTTGGGTCAGTATCACACAAAGAACAATAAACTCACCACATGGCTTGGACAGAAACTGGCTTGAAGACATGAACCCTGTTGACCGTAGAAACGCTAAAACCACTGCAAAAGAAGAGAGAAAAGAGACTAAGAAAGGGCTGAAGTCCATTTATTAAAAAGCAAAATAAACAGGTCTAAGTGAGGGTGTCAGTGCACATCCCGAGGGAGGAAGTAGGAGGAAGGTGTGGCGTATGAACTACAAGAGCAGTGCTAAAATGTATGTCAGCTGTGAAAACAAAACAAACAAAAAAAACCTGCATTCATTTTACACAAAAGGTACATAGAATAATGGAGTGATTTTAAGTTTCAAACTTAAGAACCTTAAAGCAGCATTCACATTAGTACAATCACCACATTATTGGGACTACATCAGAACTAATTCTGAAACTAGACCAAGAATAAAGATTAGAGAAGCACCAAACCAAATACATATCAGGATTCAAATGATTTCACTTAGGTCCATACAAAGACAAGTGTGAATGCATCCAAAAGTGACAGAACAGATTAATAATTTAGGCGTGAAAAAACATGGGGTGATATGGAGGACTGTTTTCAGTGCAAGTCTAGAATAAAAATTATTTTGCTCTGGAAAAAGGTAAAAAAAAGACTATTCATTCCTAAAATGATTAGACGATCACAGGTTGTATTATTTGAGAAATAGGTTTGCAGCAAAGCAAATATAAAAAGGAAGGAGTACCTTTTATGAAATTAAAGTATGCATGTGTGCATTTTTCAAGATATGATGGCTAATTTTACTGATTAACAGCAAAATATGTCAAAAGTAGTACTGAATTTTTTGGATTTAAAGACATTTCTTATATTACTATAACAAGTGAATAAAACCAACTTTGCTTGCATTTGTAAAACAGCCAAAACATAAGAGAAACCGCCCTTAGTCTTACCCGTCTCCATCCAGGTGGATCATGGTGTCACTCCACAGAGGCAGTACCAGGCCCACAGAGCAGCAGCTGCAGAGAGGAATGGAGAGAGAAGGAGAGATAAGAGGGAGAAAGAGGAGGGAGAGAAAGAGAGAGAGAGAGAGAGGGGGCAGAGGAGGGAGAAACAGGAGGGAGAGAGGAGAGAGGGTCAGACAATACAACAAAACAAGGACATGCACTTTCCACCCGCTGTGTCTCAGCTCTGTAACACTCATACGGGTCATTTCTGCAAGATGTTTGTGCTATAACTAGAAACAGAACTTATGCATTCATTTGAGTTGCCAGCAAGTTGGAGAAAAATAAGTTATGTTTAAGTAAACACTGTTTTAATCTCTCTAAAAATAAGTATTTGGTCCCACTGTAAGCAATAAGCAACAGCAATGGTGTATTGTTCTACACTCCTTTAAATAGTATTTTAAGTAAAATCACCATTACCAGGAATATAATAGTAGTAGCAGCAGTAAAAAAGTAAAGCTGAAATTAATCATAGAACTAGTTATGGTAGTAATTTTAACTGAGCAGTAGCAAATATCAAAAGTGGTTTTAAGTTGCACATTTTATACCTTTGCTCCAAAAATATTTTATTGAGGATTTCTTCCATAGCAACTGCTAACTATACCACATTTTGAAGTACGATAGCAAAACTCCTGCTGTGTAGATACAGTATTTCTTCTTTATCATTACTTGTTCTTATCCCCCAGCCCCCTCCTGTCCAGTTCCTGTGGTACTGACCTATCGGACGAGACAAAGTCCATGCCCAGTACAATGCTCTCCTCTGTGTCCTGGCGACCGTTGGTGGAGACGACCACCATGTAACGTGTGACCTGAGGGAAGGCACTCTCCAGACGGACAGCCTGTTACACACAAACAAACAGAGACATTTAAATTTAGGATAAGTGATAAGCTGACAAAAAACTTCATTCTTAAATTTCTTAAACAAATTCTTGTTTAGATTTTACTCATTTGTCACAGTTTTTCAAAGTTCCATCGAGATAAGCAGGTGACACAAAAAGGCCAAGTTACAGGTTAGATCTGTGGTGAGGTGTCAAGGTCAGTTTTTTTCAAGGTATTTTGAGCAATAATAAAACATTCAGCTTAAAAAAATACAAGATATTAGAGCTGCTTGTCACAGTTTTGCTTGGAATGCTCCACAGTATGGCATTAAACTAAACTTACTGTATATTTGTTCAAAATCCAGGTGTTACTTCTTACTACTACTTATTACTGTGAGTGGCTGGTTTCCATGGAGATATTAGATAAGTTTAATGCCATAATGGGGATCATTCTAGGCAAAGTATCAACATCTCCATGGAGACTAGCTGAAGTCAAATAATACACCTTTTAGTCAGTGGAAATTAATGAAACTGAATAGGTAAAAACGATACTATGTTGTTATGTACTATTTTTGTGTGTTACTAACCAGTCGTATCGTGTCCTCCGGCCTCAGCACAGTGAACATGGTCTGGAGATGTTTTTGGAGGTCACCTGGTTTGAAATAGAAGCACATAATCATTGAGTTTCAGCTTATTTTAGGCAACAATACCTGCTCATGTAAGATCCTGGATACTATTTCATTTGACCAGAGGCAAGTTTCACCTCCTGTTCACACCACTAACCCAATATCACCTTTCGTGTATTTACAAAGAACCATCACATGTATTTGATAGTACTTTCCAATACTTGTTTAGACAGGCAATTTAAAACCCGCTGTTGAGTGACATGCTGCTATTGTTTATTTTTTTAAAAGCCACGTTGCATTAAGGGCATTAGTTGAAAGACCACAATGTATATTTAGGTCAGTAACTCCCAAACCAATTAACTTGTATGTATTTTAGTCAGGGAAGCAACAAGGAACATCAAACTAACTGGGATTAAGTTCTATAGTCAGTGCATAGCTCATTTAATAGGTACAATTAACTGCCGTTTACGTTACTAGGAAGAAGAGAAGACAACATTAATTCATATGACTTTGAATTAGTAAAATGCAGAGAGATTTATACATAACATAAGAAGCAACAAGGATTAAATACAGTCCCATAAGTCAATAAATGCAGGGCTCAACCGGGGTTCGTAAATTTTCTATACATTTTTACCATAGACTTTTCAAAAAGTTAAATAATTAAGAGTTCAAAGTCATCGCGGAGACTAAGCAACTGACCAAGCACGCTAACTAATATCCATAATAATTGTTTTAAGTCCAAAAAGTACATTTAATACACAAGATTCTACAAAAATGTTTTAATAATTTTACAGTTTGTAAAGTTTCAGAACCAGATTTAAAGTAAAATTACAGGTTTTGTGCTCATCACCACATAGCTCATTAGTCCTGTACAAGCTTTCAAACTTTGATTTTTCTTTTTTTTTTGGAAAGTCTATGGGAAAAATTTATGAAGAATTTACTTTTGGAAACAGGGAGTGGGCGGTTACTGTTGAGCTCCATTACAATGAAAAATTTGTTCTTAGTAATTCTTTAGTTAGAGAATTGGTGTAGGTTAAGTGCAGAAATGCAGGTTTCCAGACAAACTCATCATAGTCAGTTAAGTACAATTTGATCTATGTAGTGTAAATAGAAACATACATTGTACACTGCTTAAATGAAAAGTGTTATGAGTTCATGTTTATGGGTATGTACTAAAGGAATAGCTGAAGTTGGTCAGAATAGATCATTTTGATAAGAAACTGATATAGTTTTATTTGTATAAAACGGAATATGTTTAACAAAAATCTGGTTGGCCTGACTAAATATGATGACTTATCTGTTCGTTTGTGAGCAGCAGCTGTTAACAGTGATGGGTTTGTGTTCATTAAAATTAGGGAGTGTGAGTTTAATCCTGAGGTATCTGAGGAGGCTTGTTTCTGGAGTTCAAAGTCACGAGACGAAGAGACATGTTGTGAGAAGTACCAGCTGTGGGTGGGTAGTGCCAACATGAAACTGTTTCTGCCCATGGTGGGAGAAGACTGAAAATATGAATTGTTAAACTAACACAAGAGAGAGAGCGTACAGTGACTGGGTGTGCAATTCAAGATTTAAAAGATATCAGTGTATATTTTAAAATAGGAGGATTAACTTAAAAAAAAAAAATAACAGGAACTTGTTGAGTGTGTGAAGATAGGGGAAGGGCATGGGAGGGGTTTTGTTTTACATTTTTTTGTTGTCTATATATATATATATATATATATATATATATATATATATATATATATATATATAAATTGTAGAAGAATGACACGCAATACAGACCATGTTTGTAGAGGTTTAAACTGCGAAGTTAACACGTTTATAAGACCCTGCTCTACAGTTTGAGACAATTCAAAATGGTAAAATGACTTCCACATAACTTCCAAGTACTGTACAGTTACTTTTTTATCCAAGTACTAATGAAGTGCAGCCTTCTATACAGCAGACTTCGTTTTATATTATATTGAAGTTTTGATTGTTGTGTCATGTGAAGGTGAACCAAAGACACATTTTTCCTACGGTTGATCCTATAGAACAAATCTTTTGATCAAACTTCCAGCACTCATCACAACATATGTATCTATCCTAACTTCTGGACGTGTGGTTACCTGTGTGCTTGTTGCGGCGCTGGCTGAGGCGAGGGGTGGAGTTTGGCGTGGGACTGTTGCCACGGGGCAGAAAGAGCGCCGCCCCTTTAACTGTCAGGAAACTCTCACTGATGCTGAAAGACAAAGAACAAACCACCAACATGAGTAAGAGGAATCCAGTCCTACTTATCAGATCTGTCCTAATGTATAATGGAATAATTGAATTTGTCAACAAGAGTTTATGACTTCATGTTTCATAATCAGTTAAAGATGACAGATTGATTGATACACGCTTCAAATGATGCATTCGTTGTTCCATTTGTGCACTGATTCAAATTGCAATTTTCCAAATGTAGAACTCTTATCTTTTAATGTTTAATCTCTTTAGATTATTATTGTACTTTACCACATGTCAGGAAACAATGAGTCAATTAAACTGCAATTCAACTTTAAAAGTTAGAGATAGATGAAGTAACGGTTGGCCGATATATCGGACCAATATTTGCACTTTGTAGCAAATCGACTATCGGCTTTCAATCTCCAAAAGAGGCCAAGATTTTATTTGAGCCAACCAGCTGCTTAAAGAATATGCCTAAAGCTTTGAACACTTTAGTGCGAAACAGACACTGCACAAAATGTGACTACACTGCTGTCTTATCCAGTTTGTATTCAAACAGGTTGTGAATGAGTATGTAGTAAACTTAAATTATATAATTTAGGGAAAATAATCTAAACCGGCCCTACATATTGGCCAAAAAATATCAGCAGAGCTTGGCGGCAATCGGTTGCTCTGGATTCCAAACAATCTGTATCAGCATCGGCCATGAACAAACCCATGCCACTTGCATGTCGCCATGGAGATTTTATCGCTTTGCCTGGAACATGCAGTATAGCACTAAACTTTCCTTTCCAACACAAGTTACAGGTCAGAACTGTGGAGAGGAGAGGCCGTTTATTGTAAGAATGCATGATTTTTTGTGTATTTTTAGCAATACACTTGAATAAATGATAGATAAAGAAAATTTAATACCATACTGTGGAACATTCCAATCGCACCTACATGGAGAAACGCAGGTGGCAAACAACCCTCCAGATAGCGCATAGTTACATAGCACACCAATAAATCAGGACTTTCTATCAGATTCTTTCAAAATAAAATGTTATGCTTTATATTGTGTACTTCCTATTACTTTACCTTATGAGCAATAGCACTTTAAAGTGACCATAGTAATTATGACCACATCTAGTTGTACGTGACTTTTACATCTATTTTTTCCACAATAAATCAAATACAATTGCTCTCTTTGCTGCCAAACTTTCTCTCCGCCCCTTCTGAGCACGTTGTGATGGGCTTATGTCACTCTCACAATGCTCTATTCATTTGGTGCACAGCCGCTCTCCCCAAATCAGAACAAAACAACATCTGAACTGTATGTCCTCTGCTCCGGCACATCTGGGCTAATCACAACAGCAGCTGCCCGAAGAGGAGGAGAAGGAGGAGGAGGGGGAGGAGGAGGAGGAGAAGGAGGAGGAAGAGGGGGGACAGTTTGATAAGGAAACTCCTCTGGCATTTTTGAACCCAGATAAGAGATGGATTAAGTAAATATTATATACAGTGAAGTAACTGTACAAATGTGATCAGTCTGGACAAAATTACAACAGAAAGGCAAGGCTGACCAGAGATATAAAATGAGGAACTGTAAAAATACTTAAAAAGAAATCTCAAATGTATCCAAAAAGGGTAAACCATGTCAATGTGACAGCTCTGATAAAAAGTGCACGAATCTTTCTCTATAATGTAAACACTATAACAAGTCTTTTGAAAATGGCACAGATTAATTGTTCAAAACTACTACTTTTTCACATTTTCTTGCAATAAAAAAATCACATACATATTTGTCTTATTTACAATGCTTGGCTTGATTATTGTTACTGGGCACTTTTTGTAGAGATGATCAGTATGCCAGAAAATTATCTTGTATTTTTTTTTATAGAAACCAAATCACAATTTACAAACATATAGTGAATGCATATTGTCATCAGCTTTTTCTGAGAGTTCACACTTAATTGTGATTGGTGCAGTCCACTTGTCAATCACTCAGAGTAGAGTAATAATCAGTCAACCAACCAAACCAAGCATATTTTAACGGATTATTAAAACATATGAAAAAAAAAACACTCTAACACAAAGTAGTCATATTTCTTTGCAATGAAGAAGCAAAATGGTCTTGTCATATACTGTGTGGTCCACGGCTTCTCTAGCAGTAAATCTGATTATGTGTGACTGAAGCTGCCCTCAGGAGGACTCATCATAAAACACGATCTGTCTGAATGAAGAGAAGAGCCACTGTGAGGTTTGCATGAGAGCGAAAGACTGACATTTTGTCCAGGCTTCTCGTGGTGACACAGTAACCTACAGCCACAGTAAATGACATTAAAACAGGTTTAGAGGCCTGATCTATACAGGCAGGAGAAGCAATTTGAGACATGTGACCGAGGAGAGGTCAATGATGAGGAGCTGATGAGGACATAGTCTTATTTTTCAAACTTAAACACATCAAAACTGAGACTAAACTGGGACTAAACTCTGAACTAAACAGGACTAAACTAGACTAGACTGGAACAGGACTAAACCAAGTTAGAAATCAGGACTAAGCCAGGATCAAACTAGGACCAAGCACATACAAAAATGAAAAGCAAGAAATGAAAAGCAAGAAACTGTATGCCATGCAAGATAATGGAGTCTTTATTTATGGCTTTTTACACGGCAACACAGTCACTTTTACTCAAAAATGTTTTAAAATAAAGACTACTAAGTTTTTAATGCCTGATCTTTAAATATTTATTCTTTTCAGCGTGACTCGGCAAAAACCTCAGAGACAAAACTGGACAGGAAGTAATGACGCTGACAGTGTGGTTGCCGGGTTGCCAAGTCAATTTGTAGGCCTTGGTAAATATTAGGAGAAATATTCCCGTTCCCAGGTTCATATGACACCGTCCTAGTTCTTAATTATACTGCACCTCACCCTAAAAAGGTAACATGGTCAAAGCGCTAAGTACAAGCAGTACAAAATAAACAGTAAACAGAGAGATCCCTGGTGTTAAAAATAAACCAAAACAGAGGAAATACTGGGAGGTGGCTCAGGTTAATCATAATGCATCTTCATTATAAAGGCGGTTTTATAGCCTCTGGGTGTGAGCGTTGTGAAGGAGCTGACGAAAGCAAGAGTGACACGCAAGAAAGACGCAACGTGATCTCCGACGAGCATGAAAATATGAAAAGGTAAATACTGATGCTGAGATAGTGCTGTTGTGTCTGGTGTGGTTGGAAAGAAAAAAGTCTTAATAAGCATTTAGTTTAGGGCTGTGTCTTTAATTAAATTTTAATTAAGACATGTTCAGCACAACACACGTCATTAAAAGCAGGTGATCTGGAAAGAGATCAAACTTTGGAAAGAAATGTGACTATTTTATTGTGTTGAATTGCAATAATTAACAAAAAGGTCAAAAGGTCTGAATTGTTTAAGTACAGAGAATTAATATAGACAACCCAACTTAATTTTTTTTTTTTATGGGACAAAAAAAAATCTACCAGCCTTTCTTAAAAAAAAAAAAAAAAGACAATACACAGTAAATCAATCAAATTTGCAATATTATAATTTTTTATATTCTGTATATTCATTTGAAAATGCTAACCTAGTTTGATATAACCTGCCCACTCAGTCTTTGTCAGGACCCTAGCAACAGCCTGTCCTCCCTGAACCCGCACAGTTCACAGCGTCCACACTTCTTTGGTTTCACAAATCTCCAGCTCCGTCGGCCCATTAGCCTCTCTGTCATCTGCTTTTGCTGTAACTTCATCTGTCCGTCCTTCAATCCGCCCTCCTGAAATTCTGCTGACATTGATGATGAACCAGAGGAGCAGAAAGAAAAAAGTCTACATCTCCAAAACAAAAACATGCTGAGGCTATTTCCCAAGTCCTCCTGACCCCGCCACATCCTCTTCCTCTTTACAGGCAGGACATGTCTGCTGTCCCACTTCCCAGGACTGCCTTGGTACAGCAGACTTTGGCAAATTTTGGATTTTTGAAGTAGAAATACAATATCTTATCTTACAATATTTAATTATTAAAGAATGCAATACATTTATGTAAATAAAGGTGCACAGCATAAACTTTCGAGTATGCTACCTGCTTGTCTCCATGGAGATTTTATTGCTTTGGACAAGAAGGTGGTGAACCATCCACCAGAAATGTTACATTGTCAGTGATTCTAAACGCTTTATATTAATGGTGCACATAGCGTGTAGCTTGACATACTTTTCGTGATAACATTTTTAATATAAAAGGCTGTATTTTATGGGGCACTGGGTGTCCTCTGTCCACTGCCCACTATATTCCCGCATGGGCCAGTGTGGTTGGCAGTGACCATGTATAGCAGTGCTACTGTACAATGTCATCTGTAATATAATCCAATGCTCTGCTCAAGAATCCAACATGGAGTACAGTGCATGTGCCGGCAGCAAACACCAGAGATACTCTGATACTCCTGCAGCTGAGAAACAGCACAAGACACGAGCTCAAATAGACAGGCTAAACATACACGAGACCTTTAAAAGTGAGGTCTATTCATAGAGAGCATTCAGACAGGCTCAGCTGAATTACTGTACATAGTACAAGCTTTAGTTTTAAATCAGGACTTCAACAACTATAATTCTGCACATTGTTAGAAAAAAAGGGTTAAATATGCAGTCGCAATGTTCAGATTGGTGGTTAAAATGACACAGACTTTAGGGATATGCATCAGCATTTTTCAAGATGACGCACAATTCTCAATTATTACACTACAAAAATGAATCACGCTTATTCACTAAAATGAGGATGTCCAACAGACGCACAGATGAGTTCATTTCCAGGAAAAGCAACAACTTCTCTATGGAAACATGCCAACACCCAGAAAAGTTACATAGTGAACCTTTAAATCCAAAAGAAAAAGATGAGTTTTCCACTCTGTTACTTGGTTGCCAAATTGTATGTTTGGTTGGAGCTTGGATGGACTTTTTAACCCAAGAGCTCAAGGCCTGTAACTTCAAATATTTCTACATTAGAGCTTACTTATTACTTATTTTATGTAA